TAAGCTCCTCACATGCAATGATGAGATCTCTTCATCGTCTTCTTGAATCCCTAGCTTTTCTTCTCTCCCTCTATCTTTTTCTTTCATCTCTGAATTAGGTATAGGAGGTCTATCAAAAATGAGATAGAAAAATGTTTAGAAAAATGTATATCCAAGTAGCAATGAGCAGCCGAGGTTAAATCTCAAAGGCTGAAAAACAATTTAGGCTCATCGATAGGCAATCTACTCATCAGTGGTAACTTGCTAATTAATGGATAGTGTACTCATTTACGGGTCAAGTCCTCATCAATGAGTAACATGCTTCTATAATTTCTGGATCGATGGAGTGAGCTTCAAATCAATGGGCTTCTCCTTTGCCCATCGATGAGTAAGTGGTCTCTGTAAAAAATTTTATCGATGGGAGGTTAAAAAATCAATAAAATTGCAGTAGGTTCATCGATGAGGAACATTGCCCATCGATGATCGCTTGCTCATAGATGAGTCTAAATGAAAAATCACATTTTGAGATAATGTTTATTCCTTTTAATCTCAACCTCGATTCTAACTTGTATAAGCCTGCATAAATCATCTCAAATTACAAGTTAGACTTAAATGAACATTTGTTATTATTCAAACAAAAGAAATTGTACGAACAAGGTCCTAACAGAGAAGACGAGAGCAAAGATGAAGATAGAGAAGGACGAGAGCAGATGTGAATGAGACCAAAGTGGACGAGAGATGAGGAAGTAGGTAGGGTGAGGGTGAAGGTGAAGATGGAAGATGAAGAGAGGATGAGAGCAAAAAAAGTTAGAGGAGGGGGCTAAATGTTGGCTGAGGTGGGGGATGGAGGAGGAGAGGAGGGAGGAATACAAAGGTGAAAAAAAGTAAAGAGGTGAGGGGTTGAAGAGGGTGAAGAGATGAGAAGTTGAAGATAATGATATTTTCAGGAGAAAAAGTAGGAAGGAGGAGAAGAAGGGAGAGCAATGTTATTAAGGTGCAAGACACAGTACGATGTGCAAAGTCCACTTATGCACTCATGCGCTAAGCGCAAGACAATGTGCGTCCTCAATGAAGCAAGATAAATAACAAAAATAAAATTAGTTGATACATATATCAAATTAAACAAGAAACATGTTTATGACTTTTTGTTAAAAAATATGCCAAGATAGAAACCTCACTTATCAAATTACAAAATAGAGTCTTACTTCATAATCTTATAGCTAGTTAAAAGAGTATTAATCTCAGTTTAACTCTGCCCTTCAATATTTTAATTAATTAATCACACTGAGATGTATAAAAGAACATTTGCTATAAAATCATACATTCATAATTACCAACATTATTAATAACTTATGTCATAATATTTGGAATAGTAGTTTGTGACTTCTTAATCAATGTTCTAGTTTTTTAGATATAGAAGTAGTAACAACAAGAGAGAGAAAAGGGGAAAATGAGATAAAAGATGATGGAGTAGACAACAATAATAGAGGAACAAGAGAAAGTGAATGAGAAAATAAAGGCAAAAGAGAAGGTACGAGAATAGGAACAAGAAGACGTAGTAGAAATAGTCAGTGCAGAGTAGTGAGGCGCAACTATGCGCGTGCCTCATTTGTGCGATGCGCCCGGTACGGGGTGTACGTATTTCAAATACCCCGAAGTGCCCAGTTCCCAAGGCGTTTGCCTCAATGCGCCTGAGATAACATTGGGGGGAGAGTAAAAAAGGTCGGTTAATGGGGCTTTTCACAGAAGGTGTTGATCCACCGGGGGGGGTTGGGGTGGGGTTCAAAAAATTCAGAAAAGGAGGCTGAAAGCAAATTCCCCAAAAATATAATATTAGTGGGTAGGTTTCTTACCTAATTTTGAGCGGATGTAAAGCTAGACAATGCAATATTCGGAGATGGAGAGAACAATAGAATGCACTAGTTCAAGATAGGGACCGATGAGAAGAGGGGAAGGCACGAAGAGATTTGACTATTGCTACTAAATAGGTTGTTTTTAAACTAGACATTATAGAGATAAATGAGGGCTATCATGTTGGTCCCTTGAATATATTCTACTCCACAAAAATCCTAAATGCGATCCAGGGATGGAGTATGCAAGAGTTGGTACGAAAAAAATCCGTGTTGTAACGCTTTAAAACATTTTGATAAGATGATTTTTTAATGAATGTCATTTTCACATTATTTTACTTTATTTTGCTTTATTTTACCTCAACTCTGCTTATGTTCCTCATAATCGATTCTTGTTTTAGTTCAGATAAATTTAACTTGTTTCTTTCCAACTTAAAAAGCTCTATTTTGCTCTGTAAAATCAAGATAAATTGTTTTTTTAATAAATGAAAAGAAAGCTCAGATATCTGAATATCATATATGACTGAGCCGAGGGTTTCCATTACAATGGGCAATAATGTTCACTTCAAAGTTATTAAGCATTTGATAGAGTCAAATTTATATAAATAATAAAAAAAATACTTATCTAATGTTAGATTTCTATATGTTTGCTTATTCAAGGTGACAATAAATTGCAGTGCAGGATCAAGGGATGGAAGTGAACCTCGTTAATGGAACTTAACATTTTTGTTTGCTGCTGTTTGTTTAATCTATTCTCTTGATTTGTTTGCATATAAACGCAACCACATAGAAAATGCCAGGAAAAACGGGTTGTGATATGATTTTCATATGCTACAACCCACGATTTCTTACAATTTTTCTTCATCTCGACAAAAGGAAAATTAAGTATCTGTACATTAACATTTTGTGATTTTCATGGGCTATGTCATGATTTTTGTTAATTTTGTTTATTTCTATCAAATGACAATTAAGTACCAATAGTTTAAAATTTATTATTTTCATGTGTCATATAAGACATGATTTGAGCAATTTTTATTCATTTTGATCAAATGGAAATTAAATATGTGTACATTAAAATTTGCGATTTTTATGCGCTATAACTCATGATTTTTATTCATTCATTTTGACTAAATGGCAAATAAGTACGTCTAATTCAAAATTCACGTTTTCATGTGCTATAATCCACGATGTTTGTAATGTTTGTACATTTCGATTGAATGGATGTTGCATATGTTTGTAATGTTTGTACATTTCGATTGAAGGGACGTTGCATATGTATACATAAAAAATTATGATTTTCATAGCTATAATCCACAATTTTTGTCAATTTTTCTTCTTTTCTTGCAACTGCAATTAGGTGCAACTAGTTTAAAATTTATGATTTGAGGAGCTATAACCCACGATTTTAACAATTTGTTATCATTTCAATTGAATGGAAATTCAGTATGTGTCCATCAAAATTAATGATTTCTACCTACTACCACCTTCAATTTTTGTTAATTTTTGTGAATTTTTAGCAAATGTCAATTAAGTATGCATAGTTCAATACTTATGTTTTCATGGGCTATAACCCACAACTTTTGCAGCTTTTGTATGTTTTGACCAAATAGAAATTAAGTATGTATATATCAAATTTTATAATTTTTATGGGTTATAACCCATAATTTTGTCAATTTATGTTCATTTATACCAAATGACAATTACTACGTACGTAGAACTTAAAAATCATGCTTTTCATAAGTTGTATCCAACGATTTTAGCATTTATTTGTTTGAATGGAAATTAGGTATGTGTACATCAAAATTTGCGATTTTCATGAGTTATAACTCATAATTTTTATCAATTTCTAGTCATTTCACCAAACGGCTACTAAGTACTCATAGTTCAAAAAATTCATGATTTTCATGGGCACCACGATTTTTATAATATTTGTTTCAACCAAATTAAAATTAATTATGTGTACATCAAAATTGATATTTTCGTGGACTATAATCCATAATTTTTGTTTTTTTTTCTGTTTCATTTGAATGGAAATTATGTATATGTACATAAACATTTCATGATTTTATCAATTTTCATTAGGGATGCCTAGGATATGATGCTTACCGTATTCATATTCGCTTACCCATCTCGGATATGGATACAAATATGAATATACCTCGGTAAGGAAAATTTATATCCATATTTGCTAAATTTGGATACAGTTACGGATATACATGCATATATATATATAAGCGAATATGCATGCATATACAAAATGGAAATGAGAAAACTGAATAGAATCAAGAAAAACATAAATCATTTGATATAAAAAAGTTCGTTAATATGTTCGTTATACTTGAAAAGTTAAGATTAGACATCTTGATCATCAAAATTAACCGCAAATCCATGATCTAAGAATCGAAACTATCGTAAGAGTATGACTAATATGTATTAGGATATTTCAAATACAATTACGAGTATTTTACTACCATATTTGTAACTATATCCTATCAGTTATAAATTTGAATAACCATATTCGTATCGTAACGTATACTGTTACTGATATTTTCTCGGATACGAATACGATTTAGCGCCCCTAATTTTCATTCATCTCCACCAAATGATAATTTTATTTCCCCTAGTTAAAATTTCATGATTTTCCTGCGCTCTATTCCACTATTTCCAGTTTTAGTCATTTCTACTAAATGGTAATTAAGTGCATATGTAAAAATTTGTGATTTTTCATTAGCTACGACCATATTTTTGTCAAACATTTATTCATTCCTATCAAATGACAATTTAATATACATAGTTCAAAAAACAAAATTTTCGTAGCCCATAATTTTTGCAATTCATGTTCATTTTGACCAAATAAAAATAAAATGTGTTCATAAAAATTTACTATTTACATGAGGTTATAGCTCACAATTTTTGTCAGTTTTTATTAATTTCAATTAAATGACAATTAAACATGTATACTTCAAAATTCATAAATATTAAAGACTACATAACCCATGATTTTTGTTAATTATATCACCAATGTGTCACAAGAAAGGCCCAAGGGACATACAATCAGCATTCAATTAAATTACAATAAATCAATTAAATTTTATTCCATCATAAAAGAGTCACCAACAATAGAAAATTGCAAGACCTTCAGTAACCAATTTGCAAAACGAAGACAATAGCAAGTCATAGAGCTAGTAGTCACCTTTATAAATAAACCACATTATCTTTGCACAACAATACTGCTTATGCAACAGCAAAGAACTCATATTATTTGAAAATGAAATTACAGAGGAAAGAGAACAAAAACATTTACCACCCCACAACAATTGCTATCTATAATGAAAGTGTTCTTTACAAGGGAAAAAAAATACAAAATGATTAGCTCACAAAATTTCCATTTGCTCACCTCTAGCCACTTTTCCTGAACTTATTACTTTCTTCTCTTTACAACATGTATTGCAACTATATCATGTATCTCAGTACATGATATCTCCAACTATATCATGTATCTCAGTACATTGAAATCCTTTCCTGCATTGCGATTAATCTGGGGCTGGCTACGAAGGATCTCCAATATACAAATCTAACTGTTCAACACTTTATTTATAGTAAGCCCACTGCCCTCCCATCCAAGCCGAAGCATTTGATCCACTACCTTCAAGCTCAACTGCAAGAAAACAACATCAAAGACCAAATATCAACAAATATTTAGATGATAATGTACACAGTTTCTTATAAAGGTATAATCTCATAATGCATGTATAGGGATCAAACATCCCATCAGCTATGCCTGCATCATGGGACTTACAAATAAAAGTTAATGATTTTCTGTGACTAATAAATGGAGTTATCAGCTTACAACTTCCGCAAATGGATAATTCTGACTAGACTACAAATCCCAAACAATTTTTTGTACTACAGGAAACAGAAGTGTTGGACCCTTCACATTATTTTAAGTATCCCCAACAAGGCCCGATCTATCCTTTTACGGGGCTTGCCATAATCGATATGGTCTCTAAATATCATTTACCGTTTTTTGGCTATTTTGGGTGATATATCCCCGATATGGCCGATAAACCAACCGATATGTTGATCAATATATCCTTTTATGTCTTGTCGCAAAACAATATATCACGTTTGATAATTTTTGGGCGAGATATCATGATTCTCTCATTATATCAAATGACATTTTTCCCTAAAAAATTAGACAAAATGCTGCAACATTGATTTGTACTTTTGTTTGTTGTAAAGGTTGATTAGTGATCCTAGACATATATTATTTACATTTTTATGCTTAGATTTATTAAGTATGTTAAGATTGCATTTTAGTGCATTATACTATATATGCAAACATCCGTTATGGCATTCCGATATTTACCACATGTCCCCAATATCCGCATTCCGATATGAATTTTGGTCATCCAATATTTCTCTGATATTTGATATTTCTCCGATATTCGATATTTAAAACCTTGGCCCTTCATCGTATGTTGATATCAAAATTTATGACTCAGATCCAACACTTCATTGTAGTACAAAGATAATTTGTAATTTGTAGTTTGGTTATGGCTACCAAATGCAAATTTGGACACAAGTCCATAGTTGCGCGATTCCTTGGACCCCCTCAAACGGTCGAATAGTTCATGCGCACCGAATCCCGATACATTTATGAACTGATTCCTTCCGGTACACGAATTGATTCCCCAAAATTAGCGTACCGTTTACTAAGTATGAGGGGACCAAAGTTGATTTACAAGTCTGTTCTCATGCACATGCACTTGGATTTTTTATATATTTTGATAATATAATTGAAAGTATTCTTTCAGTAAGTGAAAGTTATCCAAAGTTAATAACTAATTCTAGATCACTATTTCTTTAACTAATGTTGTTAAGAAGATTTTCGTCCCGGTCTATTAGTAGCTCTTCAGCTAAGAAAAATTGGAGTACTTATTCCTACATACATAGTGTGAAAAGGAATAGATTTAATAGTGGAAGGGCAAATAAGTTAGTATTCATCCATTCAAACATTCACCTCCTCACGATTTTGTGAGAATTACAAAGTTGGTCCACATAAATGATGGAATTTAGATCGCAATGACTCTTCAAGTAAGTTGGAGGAGCTTAGATGGAATTGTTTGGGCTCCGAATTAGCAGAAGATGCATTTGATGTAAAGGGGAAGAAAGTTGCAAAATAGAAAAAAATTTATTAAGAGGTTGTCTAATATTTAATATTTTAAGTTTTATGTATTCAAAAACTATAAAAATGAAGTATTAAAGTATTTTGTATGAAAAAATATTGAAATGCATAATTAATTTTCTAGTTTTATATTTTCTGCTATACACTTTGAAAAATGATAAGCGTAACCAAAAAAAATTACATTGTATCCTATATCGAATGTGCGTATCGAAGCAAGCTACCCCTTGCATACCCGAATTCGTACGACGACCCGCTACATACCACAAACCATGTAGCTATGCGCATGTCAGAATTACAATCTTTTGAATAACAAAGTGGTTTAACTTACAACTCTTGGTTATAGTCAATCCTTTAACAGAAATCCAAAAAAGCGCAATATCCCAAGAAAAACATATGCATTGCAATTGGAGGTGCAAACATTAAAATTTTGCCAAGTAACTGCAACTACAACTGATGATGTGACAGTAATTGCATGCAGCCGGCACTTGCATTGCAATGACAACTGCAGTGAACTGAACACCCTTGAAAAGGATAACAAAGATAATTTATGACTTATAAAAGACTTACAGTAGGATCTGTGAAAACTATCAACTGTTTATCTGCTGTTGAAACCAAAAGATTCGTGTTATCCTTGTTTAAAGCCACAGCAGTGACGTCTTGTCCTTCTCTGAGTACCAATTTATGAATTACCTACAAAACAATACAAAGAATTGCTCGGTTGGAACATCAAGAGGAATAAGAAAATAAAAGGAAATTTTTTTTCATCTTTTGTTATACCTGCAGCGTATGCAAATTAAGGAGGCACACTGAAGGCACAGGAATTGCTATCTTGTTCTCCAAAGAATGGGTGCCTTCAGACTGAGGTTTGCCCTTTTCTAGATTACTACTATCTCTCTCACTTAAAGAAGAGGTTCCTATGATTACATTTTCTCCATCAACAGACATTTCAATGCAACTTATTGTCCCTGGGAAAGAAAGAACAGCGGTAGCAATTGGAAGGCCATTAACATTGAATGTCCTGACTCGATTCTCCGACTTGTTCCAAGTCAATACAACTCCTTGCGGTGAAAGGCAGACAACATTAGCCTCTCCAACATCTAGCCTCCTTAACAAACGACCTCTTTTTACTGAATGCAAAAGCACGCTTGAGCTATAGGAGCTCGAAGCTGCTATGCCAAGGTCAGAACTAACAGCACAACAGAGAATTTCTTCAAGGTGACCCCTTAAGACATGTATAGGACCTTCAATGCGACAAGGCCTGCCAACTTCTGAGCTTCTGTTTGAGCTATTATTACCTGCAAGAGGGCTAGTCGGTGTTGTTATAGCCTTCGGGGAAGTGTCAGCTATATTGGTAACTTGAGAAGGTGATGCTCGATGTATTTTCCAAAGTAAGACCATGCTGTCCCGAGATCCTGTAACTAGATAATTACTATCTGCTGAGAGTGCAAGACATGTAACAGGAGCACAATGTCCTGATGCAGTTTCAATGGTTTTTCCTCCATCTGATGATATCAACTTGATAGAATTATCAGCATGCCCACCTACAAACATCAGAAGGATCAGCATCAAATTTCTATCCTCAATATTGCAGTAGAAAGAAAAATATTGGATGGAGACCACTCCACCAGAAAACTTAAAATGAATGGTCGTAGGGTAGCAATATCAAATAAACTTGAATTTCGCCTCACTTAGGCGACAATGAAAGTCTCTAGCATAAATATGATTCAATTGGAAAGATAAATAAATAAGCTTAGATCATACATATGCTTCCATTGTAAAGAAAGAAATTTTGCACCATCGACTTTCTAAAAATTCTCACTAGACCATCAAAACTTTGAAATGTGTTTCTCTGTTTCTAACTTTAACAGGTCCATACAAAAGTTCAACTCCTAGCAATTAGTCGGAACCTAGGTTACCCAGACACTTCATCTTGGCTCCTTTATCCATCTCTGACACTTCTCATATCTGTGTCCATTTTGGACTCTCATTGGACGCTTCTTGAATATGTGAATAAATTCATTTAGACATGTACTCAATTATGTAGGGACATATTTTAGTTTAAAAAACTCATGATACGCTTCGTGAATGTATATTTTACACTCCACCCCTCAAATTTATGCAACTCATTGGACCTAGAACAGGTTCGTTTTAGCACATACTTAGTTTATAAGTATGATTTTAAAGGGTCGTCCGGGTATCTAGTTCAAAAACGAGCAGTTTTTCAATTTATAATCTACTCAATAAAAGAAATATAAAAATTGTATAAGGATTATAGTTCTCATAACATGAAAATAAAAAAACAATATCAATCTCGCATAGATATTAAATTTAATAAGTACACATATAGTCATGTCCCCGAATTCTGATATCTACAATTTTGTCGTGTCTCGTATCCGCGCCCATGTCCATGTCCGCACCCGTATCCGTGTAGGTCGGAAGAAATGCAAGTGAATTTGCTAAAATATAATGCAGTGCAATTATAACTAAAATAAGACAACCCCCAAAATTTCTGAAGGAAGCTAAATGCAACCACATTGCAGCAAATTGTTTTTCAACAAATAGAGCTTTTTTTTGGGTTTTAATCCTAGGAAATGGATGTGCACATCCACACATGCATACACACAAGGAGGCACCAACAAAGTCATACAGCCTCATGCCCCGTTTTCTTGTGAAATTACTTTGGTCACTCTTTTACAGAAATAACCCCTTGAGAACTCATCTGGCAACACTATCGGGTAGGTTAGTGAAACAGACATGAGACAACATGTGTCCTAACTGAAGGAAAAACCCAAACGTCATGAACACAATGTCAGTATTCTATTTTTTCACTAGCCCAAAAAATCATTTAGAATGTTTTATGTTATTTGTTCCTTTCTTAGAAGTATAAAATCTAGAGGATGTTGACGAAGGTGGACGATAACCCACACCTACAAGAAAGTGAATTCCCACCTTCTAGAAAAATGTATGTGCAAACAATAAACTGTAAGCGATACCATAAGGAACCTTCACCAAAGATCAAAGACATAATAAAAGGCTTGCATCTTTCTAAAAGAATCAAATGTGGCATATTCAAACCCATAGGAAGTCATGCCCACACAGCCACCACCCCGCAATCGGCAAGGTGACAGCACCCCCCCGCCCCCAAAAAAAAAACCCACGCAATGAAACAATGAACACACCAGTCAACCACACATACAGACGGGCACGCAACGTATGACTTACTGCCCGCAGACTCACCTCCACAAACAGAAGGCACATGGGATGCGTTGGAGCCCATTGAGCAGAAAACACTATTTATTTATGTATTTCTCAGGATAGCATAGTACACGTTTACTAATTAGTACAGTCGAAACCATTTCATTTAAACCTGTGTTATGCAATCAAAATTGCAATTCCAGTCTATTCATCATAATTTTGCTTGACCATTGTGTAAAATAAAATTATCACATCATGTACTACAACAGGCGCAAAACAGATGTCTACTAGTAGCAAGTTGCTGAGATGATGGCCTAGGAGGTTTCTTAGCCAACCATACTTGATGTTCAAGGGCTTCAAAAGTCGAGGTCAATTAAATTATGTGTTTGTTTTTCTAAAGGTCATAGATCCAAGCTAGTTTACTTTTAACCATCATGCTTGTGTGAACGAGGCATAAAGGAGAATGGAACAAGTAATTAGTTCAAATGTTAGTTTTTAGGCTCTCCATAAGGGATTAGATCAAATGAACAGACTGGATTCTGATCAGAATGTAGTGTATACTGAATTTGATTTAGAAGCTTTGGGTTCAATCCTTTGAAGAGGACCATAGGCTATCTGTGTCTGGTACGCATGCCAGAATTTCAAAACTGTCCTATTCTCTATAATTATTGTGATCTTTGTAATTTTATGTTCGAAACAAAAAAAAAGGCACAAACAAATGAAACCTTCCAATCTTGAAAATTTTAAAACCTTGGTTATTTCCCTAAGAAAAAAAGCAACACAATTACTTTTAGATGAAAGGCAAAACATGAGGAAAACGGAGTTAGATACCCGTGATAATTTCTTTGTCACAAGTCACCGCAACTACAGTTAAACTTGGTATTCCAGATGCAGCAAATGCTGATGCCCGAGGAAACTGCCAGTCCTCATAACCAGATCCAGCTGGCCCTTTGAACATACGCATGAATGCACCACCTGTTGAACTTGTTGCAGACTTCCCATGTTGAAACAAGAAAGGGGTTCCTTGGCCATCTGGAGTATTTGGCTGCCATTTGTGCATTGCCACATGTGCAGCGGGAACGTTTACATCTACAACAACGACAGAATCTTGCGATGCATAAATAGCTGAAGCAGGAACATTGCAGCGTTCTGGATTTGGAACCACATAGGGTTTAATCTCAAAGGGATTCCTAAAGATGGTCTGACCATAGAACAAAAAGAATCAGAATTCAACACTATCAATCATAGTTAAATAAGACAGGGTCAGAACAAAAAGGAGTCAGAATCAACGCTATCAATCATAGTTAAATAAGACAAACCTCTGAAACATTCAACTAAGAGAAAATAAAGTGAATAAATAAAACTAGATCTTCCCTTTTCTTGTCAGAACAAAGACTATGGCATGGCTTTCAACCTGAGACTCCCACCTTACCCATGAGCTTAGCTCACAGGCGAGAAGTACGTACATTCAGCAGATGAAAAGAAATTGGGTCATTAAAACAACTAATTTTCAAAAAATCAATTTAAAAACCATAACACTCTTCTGTAGAGTTGATTGATATTAATTTCCAACATTAATGACATTTTTAATTGAAGTTTAACCATGAAGGTTACAACCAATACACCTGTAGATCTCAACCAAATTTTATAATCAACTAATCAAGTACATGTCTATATAAGAATTATGGTTGGAAAGTTATAGAAAGGAAAACGTGATTTGAATAAACATTATGCTAGACCGCTATAATCATTGCCAACCCTGAGAAACACTAATGGTTGCACTGCAACATATTTTCTCATTGCTCTTATGCATCGCGTTAATTTGTTCTTTCGGACAAATAGGGTGAAATAAAACAAATAAAAACTACACAAAAAAAGAGCTCCAAGGACTACGGAAACTAGAGTAAAATAATGATGACAAGAGATACTCTACCAGCACTTACCTCTGCCTATATGTCCATTGGACAGGTTTATAGGATCTCATGAATAACCATAATGACATCAAAATTACATGCACAGCATAAACATTTAGTACGAAAGAAGAGCAAAAAAAATTGCACACAAGCTTTTCAAATTGAAGGCTATCATAGCAATATATCCTTTCTAATACCTATAAAGCCACAAGACAGGTGACCCGTTCTCAAAGACTGACTTAAGGCTATTGGCAAAACTTGCGATCCCATAGCATATGGACTTCTCTCTAATAATGCATCTTTGACACTTTCATATAGTCCTAAAAGTGTGTGCAATCCTCTTCAAAATGCATGCACGACATAATGCAGATGCTACAATTGTCATGCTTCAACAAGGGTGTAAATGCATGCATTTCTAGCCTCATGCATAGGATGCACATCCTAGCTTGTCACTGCTTCATACTAATGCATTTACAAACTGTAGAACTCATGTTCAAATTTAAAAAAAAAATTCTGCATTTAGGAATTTCATGGAGATGCTGATGGGGCTGTTTGGTTGGGGTGGAAAACACAAAAAAGGGTTTCCAACCCCACCCAAGAAAATTTCCGAACCTTTTTCTTTTCTTAAGTTTGGGAGGACCAAAACGATGGAAAAGTACAACTCAACTTTTCCTAAAAGTTGAGAAACACATTTCCTAGCTATGAGCTTGGAAATGGGTTGGAAAAGTTAATCTTAATTGAAATGGGTTGGAAAAGTTAATTTTAATCTTAAACTATAGGCGGGGTTGTTGAGGAGTTGATCGGTTAATTGACTTTCATATTAAAATAGTGAGTAGACTTCTCTTATATTCATGGTTTCCCAAAAATTTTCATTTCATCCTGTTAGATGTTTTTAAATGTTTAGCTATTTAGATGTATTTGGATAACTAGTTATTTAGTTATTTAGGTTTAGACAGTAAAATAACTGTCTTCTCTCTCTCTAAATGGTATCAAAACAGGAGAAACTGGAAAAACTCTTACCAATAGCAAAACCCTAGCCACCAATAAAAATAATTAAAGAAATAAAACAAAATAAAATCAATCTTTGCTTCTGTTCATTGTGAAAAGTGCCCGATGTACTGTTCATTATGAAAAGCACCCAATGGTACTGTTCCTCGAGGATACTAACGCAGGGTACTGTTCATCATAACATCATTAAAAACACTGTTCACGTGAATGGTATGTTCTTTTTTTGTTTATTCTACTCGAACTTCATCTTTTCTTGTCAGCAAGATGCCTTGATGTTGTCATCTTTCTCGTAAAGGACACGGAAATTAAGATCAAGCGATCAAGGGTTTTCTACATTTCCCTTTTGCTTCTTCTGGCTAAACCAGCCTAGGGTTTCTTCTGGCTGACCCGTTTGGGGTTGCTTCTGGCCAATCCACCTAGGGTTGCTTCTAATCTTGATATAGGTTTTCGAGACTTGATTCTGTGTCAAGACTCTCCTACTAATTGTCTGTCTATTTTCTGATCTAGTTGTCTATTGTTGCTGCAGCTATCTACAGATTACAGAAGCAAGGAAATCCTTATCTCTGTCTGAATTTATTCTGCCTCATCTTATGCTGAGTTATCTTTGATTGAGACTAATTTTCAGGCTAGTAGCCTTTTTAGTTGCTTTATCATTGTTCTTTCATCTAGTAATGTTGTTCTTATATGTAACAAGTTGGGCATCTTTGATATATAGATGCTCCCACTTGAGAGGTAGTGTTAGATGTTATTAAATGTTTAGTTATGTAAATATTTAGGTAATTAGATAAATATCCATACTCACTTATGCAACCCTCATGATTCCTATTTTAAGGGACATTAGAATCACATAGAAAAATAACTGTCTTTTCTCTCTTCTCAACATTTTAAATGCCCTAGCACTACACCAAAACTCCAAAGTTTTGGTAAGGATTGAGGATTCTATTTTTATATATGCCCCTGCAAGCTGAGTGTCCCTTTTAATAGTCCAACATTCGGACTCATGCAACAATGTCAATTTTTTAAAATCCACTTTAAATTTGTGGCCGGTGGGATTTGAACCTAGATTGCTCTGATATTATATTAAAGTCTCTACCGCTGCAGAAAAACTCTAAAGATCTATGAGGGTTGAGGGTTATATTTTTAGTTTTTTACATTTTAACACATCCCAAACAAGATAAAGCAAGGAAATCCATTTCCTCCCTTTTTTTCCTATGGCGACCCAAAAAAATGTTTTCCAAGGAAACTATGGAAATATATGGAATTCAATTTCTTCACGGAAATATTTTTCCTATAAATATATGGCATTAACCAAACAGCCCCAATGTCTCTTGATATTAGGAGAACCCGGCATGTTATGGCAACTATCCGCAGATGAGGCAAGATAGCCACTGCTCAGAAGCTGTTTGATAGCCAGCAGGGTTTTATTGGTCAAGGTGTCTTACTAGTAATGAATAAATAAATAAACAAATAAATAAAAACAGAGAGAGGGGGCAAGCAGAAAGTAGTCAGCCTTGTCCATCAAAGATCCATCACAATGAATCAAATAGGGACAGGATAGAGACACAAATGTAAAGTCTGTCTCTTCAGAATTCAGAACAAAACCAAGACATTGACGGGCTTTTGAAACACCTACTTATGGTTTTTTAAAAGTAAAGAAATGACTTGAAAGTGTATTTGGGTCTGGCTTGGTTTGCATCAGGATATAAGCTACTTGATTTAATGTCATTTGGCAACCAGGCCAGTTTGTCTCTAGAAAGAACCGGGCTGCAACTCAAACTAGCTCTGACTCAGTACTTTCAGGAAAACACTATCCTGCACTAAACCAGCAGATAACCATACTTCGGTTGCACACATGTAAAGTTTAGGTAAGTATGCCTGGTCAATGGCAGCCCCTTTATCCCTTGTACTTCACAAAGTGCATGACATCTCTTCATTAGAATAAGCATACAATATAACAAACTCTCTAGAAGCTTGGCTTAAAGAAACATATGCTCAACAAATGTCAAGCCCAATTTTTTTTTACCTATCTTGACAACCAACAATCTTACGCTGCGGATAGAAGAGTGAACCATTTAAACCTAAGGGGAGACTATATCAAAACAAAAATTATTTGAGAAAGAAGTGCCTATGAGAAGCTCTGCAAGTAGACTAATCAATTCAAACCCCTGAAACATTTCATCATGATACTAATTAAAAGTAAAAAGAGCACCATTACTAAGAAAGTAGCTAAACATCAAGCACTCGAAAAAATAATTAATTGTATACAGTATACAAACTTGTAAAGAGAAATAGATATGCAGTGAAGGAAAGATGTACCTGCAGATGCAACACATCAACAAGCGGTCTCCTTCTTATGTGGGGGACAGCTAATAACTGAGATGGCGTCTGCCCAAAGTATGCAATTTGATCTTGTGTAGCACGTTGTTGTACCTGAAAACGTTTTTAAACCAAACATTTAGTAAATAATGTCATAAAGAAGAAAGAATGTGTAACTAACAACGTATTCGATCCTACCGGGTCTGTGATTTTATCAATATCTACAGTTCCTTCATATGTAATGTAGAAGAAAACATTGTGGGCAGAAATAGCGTCTCTTCCCCGCTGCTTATATCTGTTTCATTAGTTTTATTGCAGACAGTAAGATAACAAGGAAGAAAGTTCACACTAATAGACACTACAGCACCCTTTTTACAGAATTTAATTAAAATCAGAAATTAAATTATTCGAAAAATAAATATTACACCTCCTGGCAATCATTTTTAAAAGACGTTTGAGGTTAATTCATATTTCACAAGAAAACTAATTAAGGCTTGTTGACAACTATACCCAAATCTTTAATTTCCCATTGTAATATTCTCTTAATTTCCCAACCTCAATTATTAATAATAACGCTGTTTATCAAAGATAAGTGTGGGAAATAGTTAATAATTTAGCACTGCGTTAAATGAAGTGTCGCTCTTATTTGACCAAGAAATTTGGTAAAAAGTCATTAGTAGTGTAACCAAAGATAATGAAGCAACTAAAGGAAAGCAAAGTTCTCACTAGAGCAAAAGATGGTGACAATACATACCCGAAAATTAGGTCTATCCATTCATGCAAATGAGCAGACACATACTCACTCTCAAGGGCCATCCGATGCTTATGAATGAAATCTACAGGACTGTGAGCCCAAGGAGGAAGCTTGACAGAATCTGCAAAATAAATAAAAAAGGATTCACTGAGTTTCTACCTCATTTGGCACCACAATGCATAACCAAATTTGTTATCAACATACTTACCCAGCTTTCCACCAAGTTGCGTAGTACCAAAGTCAATTGAGTTTATGTTAGTTAGAACCTCAGGGAGGTAAAACATCTCTGGGACCTAGAACATAATGAACACAAATTAGATGTGAACAAAAAGTTGGTGTATAAAGCCTGCACACAAAGATAAAGGTCACACTTAAAAACACCAAACAGAAAATGGAAGTCCCCTTCTGCTTACATTTACATCAAAGATAGTCAGCATGAGCAACAAACCAAATAATAACAAGCCCCTGATGGCCAAATTGATCACCTTTGTCCAAACAGCTCCATCAAACAGCCACATCCTAAGGTTAGCGTGAAAATATGCTCTCCTTTTTCAGTGCCAAGCATACATGAACTAATCACCCCACACCACCACAATGGCGGAGAAAGAGACACCCGGGAATAAAAAAATATATATTTAAAACCTCATGGTCAGTATGTACAGCACCATTGATTATAGTTCCATAAATAAACCAGTTCCTACGGCACATGTCCACACCACTTATCTGGTCACTATGCTTTAATGCATTAATTGCGATTCCATGTTCCTAAGGGCTAAGGCCCTGTAACCCTCATAGACTTTCAGCTACTGTTTTGGCTTATGGTTGGTCTCCACATGGATTTTATGATTTGGGGTACAGTGAAGGTGGTGCAAATGATGATGTTCCTTGTGTCTATTATTTGGAGTGGTCATCATGACGGTTTTGGTGAGGTTTATGATTTTATGAAGGCGACAGAAGTTTTTTGCTTTGCGATTTGAAAAGTGTTAATCCGATTGTGGATGAGCATTTGCAAGCTTGGCTGTATTTAAAGTTAGAGGATGAAAAAGGAAGGGGTATATTATGCTTAAGAAATTCTTACCAACTCCTTCACATCACTCATGTCCTCAAGCACACCATTCCAAGTACCACCAACATCAGAAAACATTCGGTCGGCATGATCAAATTTTCCACCTTGTAATTGTATAGAGAGAGTCGTGAAAGGTTCCAGCCTAACTAGATAATACAATACCTGAAATGAAAATATATTTATCAGTACGGCAAAGTAATTTACAGTAACACTTTTCTAATATAACAAAAACTGGACAATCATCACATATTCACTAGTAACATCACAAGAGATATCCAAAGAAACTATTATAATCATAATAGTTATTGTGAAATACGGACTGTTAGGAAACTGTTGCTGGAAAGGAAAAGACATACACTGATGAATCTCTTTTCCACCTTTACCAGAGTAACATATAAAGAACAAGACTCGACCTGATATAATTTTCTAACAAACATGGATTCAGCAATAATATCATATTGTCAAAAAGCTAGAGGGTCATTTTTTTGGCTTTTCCTTCTCTACCCTGGGCTTTTAAGTGTATTTACAATTGCTAACTTAATGGATTGGTTTTGGGTTGGGAGTATTTTGGGGAAAAAGGGGACCAAATTTCAGCCAATACTGCTCAGCTCACCCCATCCGTTTCTACCCTGAGCTATTAACTGTATTTACATTTGGAAACTTAATGGATTGGTTTTGTGTTGGGAGTATTTCGGGGAAAAAAGAGGCCAAATTCAGCTTATCTGTTCAGCTGATTTTCATCTGTTTCTTGAGGAAAACAAGGAGGTTGTAGTGATGGAATTGTCAGCATGAAGTGGGTCAGGTAAGTGAGGGAGATGAGGGAGGGTGTTGGTTGATGGGATTGAAAGCATGGTGGTGAGGTAGGTGATGAGATTGGGATTTGTTTGGGAGATAAAGGGATGAGGGGGGCTCTCTGGTTGATGTTTATATACATCATTGCCCACTCGTTCAAAGATCAACATCGAAAAGAAGAAGAGGCACAGCTGAAGTTCAACAACCTCCAAAAGTAAATATCAATGAAGAAATTATAACCTTGTATATATTATTATCTCAGAAACTTGATATTTGTGTCCTCATGTTATCATACATGATTAGATAGTTTGGGTGGAAAGATTGGTGACTGAAGTTTATGGTATATCATATAAACATGATCATTACCAAAGAAAAATATGTAAAAAAAAGAAAGAATAATATCTTCTTCTTATGAACTTTTTAGCCAACAAAACTTTTCCCCCTCAGCAGCATTTTGATCTCTCTCAGCATGTCTTTGCCAAGTACAGAGCTAGACTTGTCGCTATTCAATTCAGAAGGTAAATTGCTTTTTTAGGATTGTAAATCTTTGAGTTCATCCTTTACTGTCAATTTCTTTCAAATCCTTTCAATTTCCAATAGAAAATTTCCCTTCTTTTTAATGACCCCTGTGCCTTCCTCAGCACCCAAAAGAAACATTTTTTTAATTTCTGGGTTAATTGCAGAGAGAGCCTTTGCAGTATGGTTGTTCTGAACATACTACTTTATTTTAGTTTCATTGTTACATACAGGGCCTTTAGGTTAATTTTATTGACTCTTGAACATACTGCCCTTGTAGTTTAATTGCTACAGATAGAGCAGTATCTGTTAAAATTCCATCAAGAATAAAAGAGCCAAAAAGAATTTCACCCAAAGGGGTATATTTGCAACAAAGAACTACAGCGTAGTAAATGCAGAACAACGATACTACAAGGAGGCTGTGCAATTAACCCTTAATCTCACACTCAAATGAATGGTAAAGATGTGAGTTCACTCTAATTTATCTAGAAACAGAGTACTAACTATACATCAAATGTGCAGCACAACTAACACTATTCACAGAATTTCATCTTGTTACTTACATGTAATTAACAATAAACTCTCATCCTACACCCGTACAGTAAAATATTTTAGTTTCCTTGGAGTGGGTTTGTATCTGGGCTGGGGGTGGTGCAAGGAGTCTAGAGCTTGTTTTGCAAGCTTCTATGTATTTGTTTCCTTTCTTTTAGTTGTTTAATATTTTCATTTATTTGGTTTGCATGCTACTTTTTGTGTTACATTCTGCTTGGTTATTAAACTCCATTTGATTAGTGCAGGGCCACATTTGCAATAAGTTTTTGTTCGGTTCAGTAGATAATATTACCCACACATTCATTCTTTATTTTCTGTTTAGTGCTAATTTAGTTAACTTTTCCAGACTTCTTATGATGACAAGTTATATAGTTAAGCAAAAGTTACGTATAATATAAGTTATGCTTAAGTTATATGTAATATAACTTATGATGGCAACTGATCATGAAAATTTGTATGGCTAGGCTTTTATTTTGTGCTTATTTTGTTAGTCACTGTTGTCGAGCTAATCAAAGTTATGAACCTTTTATGTTACTTTGATATATTTATTTTGGTATTCTATATAGATGTTGCTTTCTACAAAACTGAATGATTTCCCTCTTTATTATCAAACATTTTCATATTCCACCGTTGCAATCTTGTTTCTAACAGTGAACTACTTATATCTGGAAGGAGTACGTGAGATTTCATGTTGACATGTCTATGTAAATGCATCCAAGGAGTAAAATATTCCTCCCTCTTCTTTTATCTATATGTTAAAACTAAGTGTTCAGTCTCATTGCAGAGTTGAAAGCAACCTGACTTCAGCGCTAATGTTTGTCGAGATTTATTTGTGAAGAGGGGTAGAAGGAGGAAAAAGGGGGTTCGGTTGTCCTTGCTAGTCTGTTAAAAAGTAGAACTTCGTGGCACGGCAAGACCACATCAATGGTTATATGAATATCTGCAGGAATATGGATTATGCAATTAATTCTCATATGAAAGCCAATTACAGCCTTAGAATTTTGCTACAGACGATGCAATACATTAGTCACACAAACACAATAATAACCCTAGAAGATATTTTACCCATGTAAATTGTGACTGACCATTTATAGAAATGGATGTATTCACAAATAAATAAAGTTTAAGTGCAAGTTTTAAGGTTCCAGATGCTTGGCTAATAGATAACAAGGTTGCAAAATTGATGTTTATAGATTTGATGAAATACACAGTGCCAGTAGAAAAAATATCACAGCTGATTGACACACTGTGCCAGGAGTATCATGGGGAAAAAAAATAGTAAGTAGATGCAACATGCAAAGCAAGGATTTTAAAGTAGTTTGTTAGAACTTACTGTTCCTGCACTGGAGTAGTGTGAACCATAATGGAACTTGGGGATGACGGGATCATCAAAGCTAGAATACCTCTCTTGAAACTTTTTGAGCCGATCAGGATTTAATGCACCAACTGGCTGCAAAATAACAAAATATTCTGAATACCAGTTAAAGGAAGAAGCTAAAATAAAAATAAAAGATTATTACCCAAAACAATTATGACTACCTTGGAAAGATCTCTGTAAGAAGAAGGGTTACTAAGATCCAATGCCTTAGATGAGTAATCTGCTAAGATCCATGGAAAAACAGGATACTGTAAACAGTACATGGTTATTAGGAACCTATTCGCAAGGACTGCAGCTGATGGGTATCGTAAAGAAAAGCTCAAGAAAATAGACCTGGGTGATATCATTGTAACTACGTCCAGCCATTGTGTTCAGCTCCATAAGATATTCAAAATTGCTAATCTGCATACAAGAAATGATTTTACCAAGTGTCTGACTTACAAATATATGCACGCATGCACACGCACATAAAGACACCCCCACAAACACACACACACACACACACACACACAGGGATGTGAGGGCAGGAGATAAAATATTTAAGCTTAAACTAAAAAGAAACAGTAAAGATTACCTCCCACCTTGCCCACCGATCTGTTAGCTGAGTTCTTCTAAGCAATTGATCAGGCCTCTACAGCAAATAAAAAGAATTGCAAGACCGATATATAAGAAAAGAGAGATCAACCGTGAATTGATGTTCTTAATCGTGACAAGAAAAGCGACAGACCTGTGTTGCCAGATAAATATTGTTCAGATGAGGCGGCTGGGCTTGAACTATTGCACGGTATGCTTTCTTCCGCATTTCAAGACTCTAAAGCAATTCCAAGCACAAACTAATTATTACTTCTTTGATCATAAAAGGCCACTTCCATCAATAATAAACTTGTAAATATTTACCCCAAAGTCGAAGAAAAAGTTTGATCGATCAACCATAAACAATTCTAAAGCGCTTCTCCGGAGCAGATATCTGCAGCAGACCCGGAGAGGAATTAAGGAAAAGATGAAAAGTGCTAACTAATAGAACTATAAGAAGCATGTTTACATTATTTACTTAGGCAAAAGTCAAATAGCTAACATAGCAGTGAAAAAATCACCATGCTGTCTTACAGAAGAATGGAAGACAGTCAGATGCAAGTTGATCCACACTATCTAGTTTCAGCTTTCTTATAAAACAGAAAAGGCAAGTCATCCCACCGTCAAAACTATTCCTGCATGACCATGAGTAGACAACTCTGGCTTTAACCATTCAGAAAGAAAGATCCAAACATATATTATGACTGTATGGTCCTCTCTACTGCTCCCTCACTACGCAATCCAGTAGGGAGACAATGGAATTGACTAGTCCATCTATTACTTCGGATTCCACCAAATATTATAGAAAAAAGATGTCTACAACTAAGACCTGATTGATCTATAAAATCCTAAATAAGAAACTGAAGTTGCAAGAATCCTGGCCGATGACACAAAACTGAGGTACAAAGTAGTCATATAAGTGCAAGAAAAACTGTCGGAAAAGAGCATATGCTCTGTGTTCGCGGGGAAAATTGCCTTCATTGAATTCATTGTCATCTTGAATAACAACTTTTTGAGTTACAAAAGATCCGGTCTTTTTTAGATCCGGTTACAATGAGATCAAAGAAAATAAAAAAGGTTACAACTTTCTCCTTTAGAACAAATCGCGAGCTCCTGTTTTGCGGTCGCTCGCTTTGTGTGGGTTCTTTGCCGACGCCGGGGTTAATCCGTGGACCACAGCGCGATCTAGATCCGGTCGGATCTACACGATTCGACGGGTATTATTCCGCGAAGGAAATAATAGCCGGGGAGGATTAGTTCACCAAGGAAATAATCGTCCAAATCTCGGGATCAAAGGCCAAGCTTTGATCCGGAGTATGACCTCGTGTAGATCTTAGATCTGATTTTTACCTCTCTCGAACTCCTGCCTTTTGTGACGTAGACGCTCGCCGAGAATCAGATCTGAATCTTCAAGTCCTCAAGTCTTCAAAACTCCAAGCTCGATCTTTAATTCGGCAGAATTTCGGCTCTCAAAGTTCCAACCTTTTCAAATGAACAAAGGTGAGCCTATTTATAGGCTCTCTGAACTGTGCCCGCGCACAGATCCGGGTCGGCCACCCATGAGTGGCCGGCACTGGGCCGAGCCACCCATGGGTGCGCTCGGGTCTTGGCCGCAGCCACCCATGGGTGGCTCGCGTCTTGGCCGAGCACCCAGGCGCGGCTCGGCCTTGGGCCGGCTTTGGCCGAGTCCCCCTTAGCGTAGGGTTTTGTCGTTTTTCCGTTGTATCCGTTTTTGTCCGTGATTCGGCTGTGCGGTTGATTTGTCTGGACTCGATTTGTTGACCTGATTTGGCAGTCGATCCGAATCCTGATTTGGCAGTAATCCACTTCTGAGTTCGAGTCCGAAACCGATCTTGATTCGATCGTGATTCGTCACGAGGTCCGCTCTTGTTTTGAATGACTCGTTGATTCCCCGAACTGTTGGCTTGATTCCACGCTCGAATGGATGTATTCCGTTGCTTGCTTGCGATTCGTCAACCTCGTCGCCTCGTTGGTTCGTCGGTTTGTGCGAGCTATGCTAAGGGACCTATAAGCAATTTTATATGCCTACAGATACCCCCTCAAAGTATTTCAACCTCGTTCTTTTATAGAAGAGTCTGGAATACTTTGGATATGATTGTCCCAACCTTCAGTCGGTATAACGGCGACTTTGGAATGGCTTTTGCTTCTTCATTTCCTTCAATTCTTCAGGCTATTCGGTGCTTTGTCGAATGTCTGTAAGAGTTCCGGTGCTGCATTTTTTGTCTGACAGTTGTCAGAATTTTAAACTTGAAGTCGATTCCTGATTTTTTTAATCTTTAGCTGACCATCGATTGTTGGCGTTGAGTTTTTGTTTGCGACGTGTTGTCTGGCGTCCAAGCTTCATTGCGACGCATTGTCCGGCGTCTGACACAGTTTATACTCATATGTTTATTGGAGTCTTAAGAAGCAGTTTATACTCGTATACTTTTCGGAGTATTGATTCTTTTATTGCAACGCATTGATCGGCGTTGACCTAGGGTTAACGCGTTGACCGGCGTTGACCTAGGGTTTCGAACGTCGTACGTTTTAAGTTTGGTCGCAACGCATTGATTGGCGTTGACCTAGGGTTACGCGTTGACTGGCGTCGACCCTAGGGTTTCGAACGTCGTAGGATGCTCAAGTCACGAGCCCAACTAATGAAGCTGATGCGTCAGGGTTTGAGTCGGGCTAGCATGCAGATTGTTCAAGTCCGTTCCGCATGTGACGTTAAGCTAAAAGAGTTAACCCTTTTAGTGCTACGATATTGAATACGTAGACTTCGTCTTTCTCCTGTGAAAAGACTAAACAGCAACGTGTATGAGATGTTGACTTAGGATTTTTGGCAAATCCTCAGCCTTCAACGGATTTGACGTGCTCTTACCGACTACCGTTTGAATCGGGCTTACATGCGAATTGTCTAAATCCGTTCCGCATGTGACGTTGTGCTAAGAGAGTTAACGCTCTTAGTGCTACGATATTGAATACGTAGACTTCGTCTTTCTTACGGGAATAGACTACCCGGCGACGCGTGTTAGGCGTTGACTTTAGGGTTTTTGGCTAACCCCCAGCCTTCAACGGATTTGATTAGCCTTTACCGACTACCATTTAAGTCGGGCTAGCATGCGGATTATCTAAATCCGTTCTGCATGTAACTTGTGGCTATGACTTCGAATACATAGACTTCACCATTGTTATGGGAACAGGTTACCAAGCAACGTGTATTAGACGCTGACTTATCCCTACTTAGGTTTCGGGATAAAATACCCCAGAATCAAACTCTGGTGTCTTTTTCTTCGGAGAAAGACTAAACCGGCGACGCGTGTTAGGCGTCGGCATATCCTTTCTTAGGATTCAGGATAAAATTCCCCATGCGTCTAAGGCATGGATTTTGGTGTTATTAATACCAACCTGCCACAATGTTGAATATGTGGGCGGGTGTTCTTTTTAACGGTTAAGAACTAACCGGCAGCGCGGGTTAAGCGCAGACTTATCCTTGCTTAGGTTTCAGGATAGAATACCCCAGAATCGAACTCTGGTGTCTTTTTCTACGGAGAAAGACTAACCCGGCGACGCGTGTTGGGCGTCGGCATATCCTTTCTTAGGATTCAGGATGAAATTCCCCATGCGTGTAAGGCATGGATTTTGGTGTTATTAATAACAACCTGTCACAATGTTGAATATGTGAACGAGTGTTCTTTTTAACGGTTAAGAACTAACCGACAGCGCGGGTTAAGCGCAGACTTATCCTTGCTTAGGTTTCAGGATAGAATACCCCAGAATCGAGCTCTGGTGTCTTTTTCTACGGAAAAAGACTAAACCGGCAGCGCGTGTTAGGCGCAGACTTATCCCTGCTTAGGATTCGGGATAAACTTCCTAGACTGGAATTCTAGTGTCTTTTTCAATCGGTGAAAGACTAAACCGGCAACGCGTGTTAGGCGTTGACTTATCCCTACTTAGGATTCGGGATAAAATTCCCTGTACCTGTGAGGCACAGATTTTGAGAGTTAAAAAAGGTGGTGTCTTCTCTTGGGGCAAAGACGAACCCAAAATAGGAGAGGAGGAATTTTATATTCTATCTCCCGAAACTAAAGAAGAAGAATTTTATATTCTATCTTCAGCTGGAAAGGAGACTCGAGGTGGGATCTCCACCCAGAATCCGGAAAGGTGAAACTAAGAGTGGGATCTCCACTCCGAGAATCGAAAAGATTCAGATAACCCTAACTGTCGGAAGGTTTGATTACCGAACTAAAGATGAATTTCTCGTTTATCGAGAGTGAATTATGGTTTTGACCCTAACTGTAGGAAGGTTTGGCCAAACAGGAGTTTGAGGTGACCCTAACTGTAGGAAGGTTTGATCACTCGATTTGAAAGTGGACCTCTCGTTCATTGGAGGAATCGAGAGGGGATTTTGGTTTTGGTCCTAACTGTAGAAAGGTTTGACCGAATGGAAGGTTTAAGACGATCCTAACTGTAGGAAGGTTTGATCGCTCGATTTGTGGACCTCTCGTTCATTGGGGGAATCGAGAGGGGATTTTGACTGTGGTCCTAACTGTAAGAAGGTTTGACCAAGTGGGTGTTTTGAGACAATCCTAACTGTAGGAAGGTTTGATCGCTCAATTTGTGGACCTCTCGTTCATTGGGGGAATCGAGAGGGGATTTTGACTGTGGTCCTAACTGTAAGAAGGTTTGACCAAGTGGGTACTTTACGTCCAGACTCTAACAGAGAGAGTGTTGAGTGCATAGACATGGTGAGAATGGGAGTTCTTATTCATTACATTGCTGTGGTTTTGGGAACTTCCCATTACACCGGGTTATCCTTAAGAATATTAGCTTAACATTCTCCAGGAACTTCCCGTCAACAGTGGGGAAACAGTTTAGACTCATATACCTATTGGAGTATCAGGGAGTAGTTTAACCTCTTATACCGGTCGGAGGATTGAGAAACAGTTTATACTCGTATACTCTTTGGAGTTTTTTCGTTCTTATTTGGCTTATCTGAGCGATATGACGCTGGCTTCAATCAAGGTCTGAATGCTATTCTTGAGAGCAAAGCAATCCTTGGTGGGATGAACGACCCTCCTGTGGTATGCACAGTACTTTGGGTCCGTAGTGTTGTCAGCTTCCTCCTGATTCGTGATAGGTGGTAGCTTGATCTTGTTGCTTCCAAGGAGGGATTCGAAGATGGCTGGAACGTCTTCGTCCTTGAAGGAATACTCTCTTTGGAGTCTCGGACCCGAAGTCTTTTGCTGTTTTCGGAGTTGCTTTTGCGACGTTTGATATCCGAAGTCTTCTGCTGTCTCCGGGATTGCTGTTGCGATGTTTGATTAGCATCAACAGCCGCTGCAGGTGTCTTGCCCTTACCACGGGAGGCGAAGTTAGAATTCGGAGGCTTAGTTGTTGATTGACCCCTCTCGGCTTTCTTCCTTCGAAGGAATCGCTCAGCTTGCTCCCCTCGGACCTTCAGATCCTTCCACGTTTTGGACGGTGCTGTTCCCATTGCTTCCAACACATCCAACGAAAGATTGTTGTGGCAGGGGGGGGGAATGAACTCTTCAGTGATCGGGTCCCGGCAATTCAACGCCTTGTTCCGGAACCTTTTGACGAAGGTGTCGACTAACTCCCCGTCCTTCTGCTTCTCATCGAGCAATGATCCGATCTCCGGGCTTGAGGCGACGATACAAATCGAAGACGGCTCCGCGAAGAGTGCCAACGAAGGACCGTACCATCAGAGGCTCATTACCAGAGATAACACCCAGGTGCGATTTGAAGTAAATCAAATGTTGAGTGGGTGAACCCTTCCCATCAAACGGCGTAAAGTTAATCAGACTGAACTTCGCCGAATAGGGGATTGATTCCCATTCTCGTGTGTATGGACAAGGGATGCCCATCTTCTTCATTTCTTGAGCGGAAATCAACGTATTGATTTTGCTCTCGAGATTTTTAATCTTCAGGTTTTCACCTGAGTCTCCATCAGCATTCTCATTACCACCCCCTGCATTGACGGGAGGATTATTGGCATTATGAGTCTCGTTCGCATTCGTGTCCTCATCTTCCTGATGAACCTGGTTACGATGACTTGGCTCGCCTTGCTGGTTCGTCAGCGCTTGGATTTGCTGGTCATGCATTTCTCTCATATTCTGCATGACCATCTGCATTTCGAGCTTGAAGCTCTCTTGTTGTTTAGCCATGGCTTCTTCGAGCATCTTGGCCACTTGTTCGGCGCTTATCATCAGCGACTCGCGGGGACCGCGGAGCCAGCATCAGATTCTTCATCTTCTGAAGATAGTCTTGTCCGAACCCTACCATAAGTTCCTCGTGTGATGGCTCCAGACTACAGACGAGTTAGATACCAGGGTACTGGCGGAATTGACTCGGGATTATCCCTTGTCGATGCCCTTTTGCTGGTCATATTGGTGGTGACCCTCGGAGATTCTCCGTCTTTAATTACCCTTCTTCTTTGTCGGAAGCGCCCAGACCTTGGTCTTGGCGTTTCGGTACTAAGCCTTTCGAACATTGAAATTCGCTCGGGGACTGCCTTGATGCAGTTGCACTCAGACAGTACCGTCCGAATAAGCTTTGAACAAGGACACTGAGTTTCTAGCCTTCGAGGACTTCTCTTTCTGGCTTTGCTCGTACCCCCAGCACGATAGTACAGCTCTTCCGTTTGAAAGTCGGAGCAACCTATCGTGTGTTGGCACGATTTCTCAGGTATAACGTAATCATCATCAGACGATAACGTTTCCTTCTGAGAACGAACTGCCTTCTTTGGACTTTCAAGAGTCACGCGCCTTGAGACATGCCTTTTTGGGCGTGAATTCTCAGCGGGCTCCTGAACTTCAATGCGCAAAGTAGTGCGCTTGGGGCGACCCCCAGCATGTTGCGTTGTTTGGGGCTTTCGTAGTGGGTCCAAACGTTCTTGGATTGGAGCTTCGCTTCGCTCCTCGGGACGTGGACCGAGGTTGAACTTTCGGAGGCTGCAGTTGTTGCTCCTTAGTCTGAATCGCCGCTTCAGACTTCGGTTTCCAAGCTTTGCGGGTTGATGGCGGTTTCTTAGCCACCTCTTTCTGCAACTTCCTACGGGCTTCTTCAGCTTGAGCCCGTGCCTGCGCTGATAGTGCTCGGCGCTTGCGAATGCGCTCCTCCAGCGTTGATCGGTTCCGTTTGACATGGACCCATTCCATTGTTGGCGGCTTGGAGGAACCACCATTCATTGATTGTTGAGGCTGCTTGCCTCTTTTGTTCTTCAGATCCACGTTGTAGCGGATCCCGTCAACAGACTCCATGGCCTTTGCGAATTGTTTCGCAAGGCGTTGACGTTACCTTTGGCGGGCTCTCTTCGAGAGAGTCACCACGCCCCCTGCGGCAGAAGGGTTGGCCAGAGCAGATCTGCCTTGGTTGGAAATTGGAGGAATCTCACCCGATGCGACTTTGGCATCAAACGGGGCAAGATCTTCGTTGGTGTCTTCAACGTCTTCATACCAACGAGTTTTTCTCCTGGAGGAGAACTTTTTGGACTTGCGGGGGGAGGTTGATCCGGACGAGGACGACAAGTACTCCTCGAACTTCTGCTGGTCGAACTCGTATTCGACCTCCTCCACGACCGGGATTGAGATCCGCGGCTGCGACGCTCCGATCTCGGCAGCGAAATCGGCGGCTCCCACTGTGGTCGCCAGATTGTTCGCGGGAAAAATCGTGTCTTTCTTCATTATTGATTCCATTGCTATCTTTAAATAACAACTTTTTGAGTTACAAAGATCCGGTCTTTTTATAAGATCCGGTTACAACGAAAATCAAAATAAAATAAAAGAAAGATTACAACTTTTTCTCTTGTTTGTCAAACAAATCACGAGCTCCTGTTTTGCGGTCGCTCGCTTTGGTGGGTTCTTTGCCAACGCCGGGGTTAATCCGTGGACCACCGCGCGATCTAGATTCGGTCGGATCTACACAGTACGACGGGTATGTATTCCGCGAAGAAATAATAGCCGGGGGAGATTAGTTCACCAAGGAAAATAACGCCACAATCTCGGATCAAAGGCCAAGCGTTGATCGGAGGTCATGACCTATCCGTGTAATCTTAGATCTGATTTTTACCTCTCTCAACTCCTGTCCTTTTGTGCGTAGACGCTCGCCAGAGAATCAATCTGAATCTCAAGTCCTCAGTCTTCAAAACTCCAAGCGCATCTTCATCGCGCAGTAGTTTCGCCCGTCAAAGTTCCAACCTTTTCAACAATGAACAAAAGGAGCCTATTTATAGGCTCTGCTCGAATGTGCCGCGCACAGATCCGAGGATCGGCCACCCGAGGTGGCCGGCCACCTGGCGACCATCGTCCACGTGGTGGCTCGGCTGTGGGCCCGAGGCCACCCACGGGTGGCTCGGCTTTGGCCGAGCCCCCCTTAGGCGTAGGGTTTTGTCGTTTTTCCGTTGTATCCGTTTTTGTCCGTGATTCGGCTGTGCGGTTGATTTGTCTGGACTCGATTTGTTGACCTGATTTGGCAGTCGATCCGAATCCTGATTTGGCAGTAAATCCACTTCTGAGTTCGAGTCCGAAACCGATCTTGATTCGATCGTGATTCGTCCGAGTCCGCTCTTGTTTGAATGACTCGTTGATTTCCCGAACCGTTGGCTTGATTCCACGCTCGAATGGATGTATTCCGTTGCTTGCGTGCGATTCGTCAACCTCGTCGCCTCGTTGGTTCGTCGGTTTGTGCCGAGCTATGCTAAGAGACCTATAAGCAATTTTATATGCCTACACTCTGAAACTTTGAAGTTTGAACAACAAACATTTTCTCAGAGAAGTAAAAGGTCATATCCATCACTAGTAGGACCCAAAGCACAGACTATATGAAGAAGCAACTAAAAGCAAGGCAGATGATGCAAGCCAAGTGGAACAGGAATATAAAATAGTAATAAATTGGTAGATTCAGAAAAAGGGAAGAAGGCATAATAACCATCAGAAAGAAGAGTGTCAAAAGAACGAAAACCAATGAAAATTGTATGTTAATGAGTTCTTCAAGCAAAAGAGACGAGCTGATAAAAAAAATTTATCCAAGAATGTAAGACAGTGGCCGCAGATGTTTCGCTCAATGCACAGATACAGTTAGACAAGCTTCTAGTGTAAGGGACAAAATACAAGAGATCATTATGAATTTTGTTGCACCAACAATTGAGTACATAACGACAATATATTTCCGGAATTTAAAGGAAATTGTGAAATCAAAGATGACCTGAGAACAGCCCACAGCTCGGATACACAAAACAATGCAGAAAAAATGGAGATCTTAAAGTAATATATTAATCACGATCAAGTAACACAAAGGAAGTTTTGCAATTAGAAGATTCTTAATTTTCTGATACTCATGAATGGGGCACCAGACACTATAGAGATAAAACACAAGAAGCTAGGTCTGAGATAGATTAAGTGAGATAGAAGACAACTGACAGAAGCTCTTTTAAGGCATTTAAGTGTTTTATTGAATTGTTAAAATAACTATAAAAAAAAGGAGCAATAAATCTATACCAACTATTTTCCATATAGTAGCTTACAAAAATATCCTCGCACACTTCAAACCAAAGATTTAAACTACAGATGGGTACTAATGGTCACAATTTTGGCCAACCACCAAAAGTAAAAGTTACAGGAACTGACAGTTCAGATCTCATAGTTTTGGCGGCTAATCAAAATGTGGATAGTTTTACAGGAATTCATTTGGAGTTATTGAGTTACAGCAATAAACCAGCTGGAAGTCGTCCTTTTTCCACAAGTTGTTCATCATTGCAAACATAGTTGACCAACAGCACAGGGTTCACCATGACAACCCTCTAATGCGAATATTAAAGTAACATAACGGATAATTTGTGGAAATCGTTGAAAAAATCGAAGAAGATAACCTTTCTGGAGCTCATTTGATAAATCTAGTATCAACACAATAATGATGCACATTTGAGGAACCACTATGACTATGCATATTAGTCTACTTGATAAACAAGTTACCAGAATAAAAGGTACATGTGAAATTCAATGTGATAGCTTAATAATCCCACAGTATAAAGGAGAATGCATTGCAGCATCATAAATCCATAACTTTAATGCATATGTCATACAACATGTATATTACTAGATAGAATACATATAAATCTTTAAGACTAGTTATAATAATACCGGTAATAAAAGCCATTTGATAAATGCATATATCAGGAAGTCAACTGTTTTAACAAAAACCTAGTATTCTATGAACAATTAAGGCAAGGTAGAAAGATAAATATACTTGTAGGAAAGATTAAAACAGAATTAACTCACCTTCTACTATATATTTGATGAAGAGAAGATATGAGCCAGCTTCGATCCTTATCCTTCTCAATGTTTTGACTAGTAATATTGGTGATCTCCTCCATGAGGCCGCCACCAATTTGCTCATCAAAAATGAAATTTATTCTTTTTGTTGTTACCTGGTAAAACATGAAGTTATGGCAGAGTAATAAAACATTTGAGGTAAAATATAAACAGAAATTTTTAGTATGGTGATACACTATTTCAGTAAGGACTGACAAGCAATAAAGAGATAGAAGTAAAAACTACAACACTCCCATTTGATTATACAATAGTACAACAGAGAGAACATAAGCATTCAGGAAGAGAAGATCAAATTGGCCTTTTGTCAATAATTAGCAAAATGTGATCTGTAAACAAAATTTGGACAATTTTTACCAAGTTATATGAAAAAACCAACCAACCAACCAAATTCTGAAACTTAGAAAAACAAAAAAAAAGGGAAAACTGGTTCCACTCCCCTAGGTATTTTCAAGCATGTCTCACACCCCACTTTGACTTTTCAAACATGAAAAGCCCCTTGGCATTTTAAAAACTTTCGAAGACCTCCTCCTTTTGCGTTACTTAAATTTCAAAATTGTCTATATTTCTCTTTATCTCTCTCTTCTCTATCCTCCCATGGATTTGCATCAGCCTCAGTTCTAACAGAAAGTTTAGGTCACTTTTTGGTAGGCAAAAATATTAAATTTCTAACAAAAAAAATCTTTCTTTCTAATCATATATCTTCTGTAAATTAATTAGCTCTACAATTATAAACCAAACAACTCATGAACTGCAAAAATCAAAGCCTAAGGCCCTGTATGGTGGGGAGAAAGAAAGGTAAGGATGACATTCATCCCGTTCGGATAGTTTTTAAGGGGTGAAAAGTCTCCCCTAGTTCACTCTCAACAATAAAAACATTTTCCCCTACGCACCCCCCCCCTAAAAAAAAGGAGTGTAACTGAGTGGAATGAAATTCTCATAACTTTCCTTATCTTCTCTCCCCTATTTCGTTAACTTTCCTTACCCCTAATGAAATCCACACACCTAAAGAGCAACCCATTAAGTTATTCACCAAAAATCTATCAAACAAGCAACCCATCGAAGTTCTTCTCGCTTGGGCACTTCATCAAACAAAATAAAGACAAGCACACTTTCCTCCAACACACAATAACAACAGAATTGTCATCTCTAAATCAAAAACTCAAGTCAATAAACAAGTTCAACCATCGTTGCGCGATTCCTTGGACCCCCTCGAACCATCGTCCAGTTCCTGCGAACCGATTCACGATACATTTACAAACCGGTTCCCTCCGATATATGATCCGGTTTCCCAAAATTAGCATATCACTTACAAGTATGTTAGATGTGAAGTCTCTTTAAGTGCACATGCGCAAGACGCAATGCAATGAGTGCAATTAACTCAAGGGAGACATAATAGTGTATGAGCCGATGACTTTACTGTAATTAAACACGTGTTAATTAAATGTAAAACGAAACGATAATCTTAAAATGAGCTCTGTGGAAAAAAAACAGAACAAAGAAACAAACTCTATCAAAAAGAAGTATTTTTAAGTATTTTGTATTAAAAAATATTAAAATTTATAATTAGCTTTCTAGTTTTCTGCTATATACTTTGGAAAACTTTAAGCGCCCCCTAAAAAATTTACAAAGTAACCACTAACCGAACTTGCACACCGAAGCAAACTACCCCCTAACGAATCCAAATTTTCTAAGTGGCGAATTACGTACCCGAATTTGTACCGTGACCCACTACGTACCGCGTACTGTATAAATATGAGTTCAACACTAGATTAATAATCAGTTAAGTCATCAAATTGTCCAGATCAAAAGATATTCTTGAGATGTAGTCACTTCTCGTGACTCTTACCATTTTATCAAGTATAAATGTTCACAGTATATTAATAATTAGTTAAGTTGTTATAAATAATTTATTCAAATTATTCCATGATTTGTAATTTTTTTTCACAATGTTGGCAAAGTTCAATCTTGTCATCCACATACCCTCAAAATAAATCTAATATTAGCCAACGTCATAACCTCAAATTCTTTAATAGGCTCAATGTCATTCTAAAAAGGGTGGGAAGGAATATCGCTACCAATTTCGGTTTGACCAAAAAAATAAGAGGAATGGGCTTGAATGGACTACGAGTGAGCAGACTTTGGCTGAGTGAAGAGAAGAAAGAAATAGGGGTAGTGCAAGTATTTCAAAAGGTAAAGCGTTACTAGGGAGTGAAGTGAAGGTTTTCAAAACCTAAGGGTTTTGTGGCTGTTCATTAGTCAATTTAGACTGCAACATATAGATGTAAATTTATAGGGGGTCGTAAACATTTTGCCCTAAAAGAAAATAATATTAGAAATGACAAATCTGAATATTGTTTAATGCTCCAACATCAAGAATGTCAAAGAAATGTCAACAAAAATTATATCAAAAATGATAATACATTTTGTAAACGAAACATTGTTGACCACTGATTAGGTTAGAAGACAGTAGACATAAGTGTCATATTTAGATATTATTAGTATTTAGGTTTACGAGATATTATTGAGATATTGTGAGATGTAATTAGATAATTTATTTCATATCTATTTTGTAATATTCTCATAATCTCTATTTAAGAAAGGTAACGGTTGGATGAATAAATAACTTAAGACTCTTGTATTTTCTCCACATGGTATCAGGCCTACTCGATCCTAGCAACCTCTCATCTTTTTAGATCTCAAGGCCGTCAAGGGGGTTGAAGGCTCCTCTCAACGGCTTTGATGGCATCAACAGCTTTAACGACTTCAACATCTCTATTTTCTAGATCTTATCAAACACCCTCCACAAAATTACATTAAAAAAAGTTTGCGTCTAATGTTCACGTGATAAACATGACCGAGATTGATGCTCATGGATGAACATTAATCTGAGTTATTATTCACTCTTCGTCATTTTTGGTAGTTATATGAAACGACAGATGTTCTCTTTCGACATTGTTTCTAATAGCTTACCCGCCTAGGGTTTCTACTGACATACCCGCCTAGGGTTTCTACTGGCTTATCCGCTTAGGGTTTTTAATGGCTTACACGACTAGGATTTTAACTAGCTGACTCGCGTAGGGTTTCTACTAGCTGACCTGTCTAGAGTTTCTCTCTACTAGCTAACCCGCCTAGGGTTCCTACTAGCTATTACTGTAATTTTCTAATTGCTAATATCTTTAAGTATTCCGGACAAAGATGACATTGTCAAAGCTCTTGTAACTAGCTGTTTTATTTCGATTTGTAACGAGTTGGACATATATAGTAATATATATTCCAGGTTGAGGAGTGTAAGATATTATTGGTACTTAGGTTTAAAAGATATTATTGAGATATTGTGAGATGTTATTAGATATGATTTTATCTCATACCTATTTTGTAATATCCTCCTACTTTCTATTTAAGAGAGATTAGGGTTAGATGAATAAATAACATTAACTTTTCTATTTTCTCTACATATATCAAACCTAATATCCCAAGAAAATAATGAGAATACTTCATTGATGCAATGTCAAATGACTTACTTGAAAGATTCCCTTAACAGTCTTTAGTGGTCGCACCATCAAAGAGGAAAGTGCAATAGTAATCTTTTCATCGATTTCACTGGTCATGCACCCATGGAAAGGAACTGACATGGACTGTACAAAACTTCGATCTGCAGAAACTCTAGATTCTACTGGTCCCTTAGATTGCTCAGTTACGGATGACACTGATGATGATCTATGCTGGTTATCTACAAAGTTGTCAAGGTTATCAGTTTCTGTCTGCTCATCATTTTCGTTACCCTCTTCCATGGATATTGCATCAGAGATCAGAATTGAAGCACTAGAAGCCAAAGTAGCATTAAATGAAGCTTCTGGATCATCCGCCTTGCCCATATCTGAATTTTCAACAGAGATAGAGCGCATGGCTTGATCTTCATAATCAGCAGCTGCACCCAAATGATCAATGCCCTTGAGATTTCGAATCAAAATTCTCCTCATTCTGGTGGAACACTCCATTAGGTCCAACTTCCAGAAAACCTGTATAATCAAACAGTCAGAACTTCCATCCGAAATCATTATAAGAAATCAATTGCATGCTTTAAAACAAAAATAGCTACACGACTAAATAATTACAGTTATTCCAATCTTTTGACACAAAGAAAGTTAAAACGCAGTAAGACAAGCAACTAAAGAGAACAACTGCACATACGTGTTCAGGATTGTACAGGGGGGCCCTGAATGGGCCAAATAGCACTCTTGTTTCAACTAAGCGATGTATAAGTTTTCTCCAGGAATGAATCCCAGCATATTGACGGCGCTGATCTAGAATATTCACTTGAAAGCGCCTGCTCATCTGAAAAATATCATGTTTTTTGTCAAGCTTGTTAATGAAGGAAAAAAAGGAAATGAATAACAAATATACCTCTGCTTCCTGAATGTCTCTTGCCAAAGTGAAACTGGATACGAGTAATGAAACAAACTTATTGGACTGAGAAGTATAATCTTTCCCAGAAACTGATTTAGAATCAATTGACTGAAGGCATTCTGCCCATGCAGTTCCCATTGCTTCCGAGATATTCCACCTATTTGCTCTTTCAAAGTCTCTGGCACTTCTCCTCTGTGCTGATGTAGCCATAGCTACAGCACTAAGACCCCTCCCAGAACCAATCTTGGCATTACGTTCCAGATCCCTTGCAGCAGCCAGTGCAACAGCCTTTGCAGCTGCTTTATCTTTCGGTACGGGTGGAGATTTGTTAGGCACGTCAGGAGGCCTTTGGAAGTTCACAAATGAATATGATCTCGCTGTCTTTCGCTCAACAGTTGGTGCGTCACGCCTTACTTGTGTGCTTTTAGAAGGAATCATGGTTTCTCCACCACCAGCACCTGCAGCCATCATAGCTAATGCCATGGAAGCAGGAGGCGAAGCAAAAGCAGCAGACCAGCCAGGGGATATCATTAAAAGAGCAGCCTAAATCATCAGATATTGTTAGTCTGAGAAACACCAAGATCAGATAAGTCTAGCAATGACTTCCCAAAATAAAAAATTTCTTCAAAAAGTGTTTCAGTAACAGTCTCAAAGATAGAAGATAAAAGGGAGAGTCAAATATCGGGTCTGCATAATGGTCACTGAATGATCTACGGTTGGCATATCAGACTGGTCACATAAGAAATGCTCAAACAAAAAAACTGAACAGTAGAAACAGTAAATCGCATGAGGTTGTCACTCATTATTCATAAAACAAAAAGAATAAGCAGAAATGAGGAACTGCCAATAACCACTCCTAAACAAAACGAATAACTTCACTAGTTTAGCATGCACATTTGAAATACTAATACATAGAGATCTCTTTTATACGAATAAACCTTGTTCGGAAGGTATTGGAACTTTTTCTCTTTCTACCTGTTGTCTATATAACTAGCTATATGCTGATTTGTACTGGAGGAGAGAACGAGTGAAAAAGTATGTGAAACACACAACACAAATAGACAAGTCCTAAATTCCTGCCTAAATTAATAAGCAACGAGCTAGTCTTAAAAAGAAAGGAAAGTGAGCTAATCACGAACTCCTTGAAGATAACTAAGCAGAGTACTGCTCCTCAACATCTTAACAATTTTCACCGTTAAGAGTAATCCAACCCACTGACGAAATATATATGACAATACAAAGAAAAGTCATAAATTATTCACCAAGTTTGATCATTTACCAATCCAAAATCAAGCATTTTAGGGTTCAAGCTGTGGATGAATTAAACAAACATACCATCTTAAGAATCAAGCAACTTCCTTAGCTATGGTTGAAGGCAGGATTGCCACCTAGCAACCTCAGCTTAGAAAGCCATCTAAAAACCTTGCTTAGAACATAAGCCCAGCATAGACCAGGCAGATCTATCCAGGAAGGGCTCTCAGGTGCCTAGGTTACTATACGAGAACTGGTTGAAGCCTGGGGCTTAGCAGATTTGATCTTGTTACAGCAGCTAAAAAGTGATTAAAACAAACTAAAGTTATTGTTTATTTTGATTCTCATACAAGCAGTCATATACTTCAAATAAATGTTGAAAATAATGATAATGCATGATGTAATGCTTCACGCCTCTACCTCCTGTTAAAGATTAAAGAGATAATGCAAAAAAACAAAAAAGGCAATGCATTATGTATGTTGTTCCGTTTATTAATTATTACATATTTTGTAAATACAAACTATTCATAATGACTTTAACAATCATCAGAATTTTCAAACACAACATAAACAATTAGGAACAAAATATTTTTCTTGCTGTTATATATATAATATATATATATCATATATATTTATATATATTATATATATATATATATATATATATATATATATATATATATATATTATATATATATAATATATATATATATATAATAGTTCATGATACTTTTAAGAAATTAGAAATACAACATCATAAAACAAAAGTAGAACAAATTTCGAATTAAACCCATTTAATTTTTTATTATAAAATTCGACTCATTCAACTTTTTATTAGCAAAACCGACTCATTTCGTGCCACGTCAGCCAGCGTGGCCACGAAATGGGTCGGTTTTTTTTAAATGACGCCGCTAATAGTCAGGGTTGCAACCCCGACTATTTAGTTATGTCGGGGTTGGCAACCCTGACTATTAGATATGGCACATGCTAAAAATAGTCGGGGTTTCCAACCCTGACTAATTTAGGCCCCTCTCTAATTGGTCGGGGTTGGCAACCCCGACCATTTGGCAGAGAGGTAGCTGATGTTTATTTTGCTACGACAAAATGGTCAGGTTTGGGAACCCCGACCGTTTCGGTTTCGAAATAGGCTTTCCAAATGGTCGGGGTTGCCAACCCCGACCAATTAGAGAGGGGCCTAAATTAGTCGGGGTTAAAAACCCCGACTATTTTAGCTTGTCCATAGCTAAATAGTCGGGGTTGCCAACCCCGACATAACTAAATAGTCGGGGTTGGCAACCCCGACTATTTAGCGGCGTCATTTAAAAAAAACCGACCCATTTCGTGGCCACGCTGCTGACGTGGCACGAAATGGGTCGGTTTTGCTAATAAAAAGTTAAATGAGTCGAATTTTATAATAAAAAATTAAATGGGTTTAATTCGAAAATTTGTTCAACAAAAGTATTTTAATAAAAAATAATTTAAGAAAAGTTATATAGATTTACTATGAAGTATCACAATTAACTACTCAAATACATAAATTTATAGCTCATTCATAACTACATTCGTTTTATTAATCATATTCATAACTTCACAACCATATAATGATCTCACCAAAACAGGATATGAAGGTTCAACAAACAATTTAAAAGTAATTCCTTAACTTCAAGTTTTAAGAAGGGATATACTCACAATTCTTTAGACTTATATTGAAATAACGCAAATTATATTGAAATAACGCATGTTATCGTGAGATAACGCAATTTATATTGAAATAATGCATAATGCATATTACATTGTAATCATGTAGAGTTATGACGTGTTTGAGATGTTTCATAAAGTTATGTAACATTTAAGGTCTGTTAGGATACATAACGTAAAATAACAAGTTACGTAATGGGTTTCTTTCAACAATGCTTCAAATCTTTTTATTAGATGACATATTTACTAAAGGAAATTAACAAAAAAAACACATGTAGATTGTCACGCAAAATGACATTTTATAAAAGTAGACAATGTCAAATAACACCCCAAAAGATTTCTCCCTATTTTTCAAGAACAATATGGTTGCATTTTTTATGGGAATTTTTGAATTGAGTTGCATAACATTGCCGCTAGTTTTCTTAAACATGGACATGGCTTTTCTTCACCAAAAAGTATCACAGTATAGAAAATTTAGGGACCTTCTTCGACTTTTTCAAAATTAAGGTTAGTATCATCAATTTAAAAGTTTACAAATATTGATCAGCATATAGTTACAGAGGTAAAGGAGATATACAATATTGTTCAAACTATTATATAAAAATAAAGGACATACACAAATATTGGTTAGCATATGAGTGGAGGAGTAGCGCTTTTATACTGATATATTAGAATAAAGGAGATATACATTGTTGCTCAAATATCAGAGTATTAAACTCATGTCCCCATGCTATGAAACTTTGGGAGAGGGTATTTGAGCAAAGACCAAAAAAGAAAATAAGTGTATCCCGAAATCAATTTGGTTTTATGCTCAGGAGGTCAACTATGGCACCTATTCATATATTGAGACAGTTGATGGAGAGGTATTGAGAGAAGAAAAATGATTTACATATTTTTATTGGTCTAGAAAAATCTTATGATAGAGTGCCTAGAGAAATAATGTGGTGGGTTTTGAAAAGAAACATGTATCATGTATATATATTAATGGGATTAAAGATATGCATGATGGACTAACTAGGATAAGAACAAATGAAGGAGAGACTAGATTGTTTCCTATTGCCATTGGTTTACATCAAGGATCAGCCTTAAGCCCTCATCATTTTGCATTAGTTATAGACCAACTTATCAAGCATATTCAAGATGAACTCTCATGGTGTATTTTATTTGCTGATGATATAGTCATATAATATTAATTGATGAGAATCCAGAGGGTATAATATCAAAAGTAGAAAGGTGACGACAACCCCTCGAAACTAAAGGTTTTAGAATTAGTACAAACAGAATATATTGAATGCAAGTTTAGTAAAACTAAAAAAAAGCCTATAGTACATAATGAAAGCCAAGAAATACCTAAAAGTAACCACTTTCGTTATGTATGATTAATCATTCGTATGATGGTGCGATTGAGGATGTTGTCCATCGAATCAAATCAAGATGGTCAAATGGAGGATTGCTTCGGGAGTCTCATACGATCGAGGTTTTAAATGTCGGTTACCTCGGATATGGTAAGTGTTAATTTACAGAGAAGATGGCCCATAATAGAACGAAATGGGAGGACAGAATTCATGTAGCCGACCCCAAACATTTTAGATAAAGGCTTTATTGTTATTGTTATATAGTTACTAAGGTTAGCTTTTAGTAACTTAATCATTAACGAACTAATGATATCCAAATACTAAATAGCTGGTTTTTGAAAAAACATGTCCACCAGAAACGCTAGTAGTTTTAACCTATTTAAATGCATTAGTTTTTTTCCCTCTTTTAAGTGCAACATTTCGTCACACTTGTATCCTTCAAATAAAAAAAAACCTTTTTGACCTTGGTGATGCACTAGGCAGTCGCCTATCTGCCAGCCTAGAGAAAAAACTTAATGGAAATTTTATAGTAATTCTACTGATGTACCATGTTCAACTTATCCGTATTGCTCAATACACGATAGCTATTAGAAAATAGCTTACAACATATCCTTGGATAGCACGCCATTGCATCTCATCTTTTATTTCCACTGAATTTCTTGTCTAATAGATTTATGAACCAGCAACTCATGTCTCTAAGCTGAAAGTTTTTTCAATTGGGAAGAAACATGGGACCAGAGATTCTTTTTTCGACATTTTTTGACCTTTTCTGGGTGCTTCCATGTGGCAGTATTTCAGACAGCAAAACTATCCCTCGGACAAATTGCAGCTCATCACTGCCTCGATACAAGAGAAGAAGAAAGACAGTAGTGAAGCTTACTTTCTGTAGTGTTTAAAACTTAAAAGTAGCATGAGATAACTAAAATGCAGTTGCCACAATCATCAACTTGGTGATAAAGCTACAATTCGTTCACCAATGCTTTCTAGTCTGTTTAGGCTTGTCCTATACAGCTCTAGCACAAAATGAAACTTGTCAAAGGAAGCTTCATATTCAAAAATGAGCAACTCAAAATGATGACACGAAATAACCACCACAAGAAACAGCTGGAGCAGTTCAATTTTTGTTGAAGCACAGGATCACCGGAGTGACGAATGCATGAATAAGTATTAATTTGTTACTGAAAAATATTAGTAGTTGAAAATCATGGAGGTAGACTGTAGACAAGAATAGCCTTTGAAGACCAATTTCAAGTGATTAAGAACTATCTGACTTTTTCATGAAAAAATAGCAACAGTAGGGAAGTAATATGTCACCTCAAGAGGAAGTGAATCAGCTGCCAGAGCACGATCTTCAACAACAAGGGGATTCTGTCCATCTGGAGATGTAAGTTCATGTATACACGCCAAAAGGGGTCGCCACCGTCTTAAAATTGCAATAAATGGTGGTAAGATTGCTTCAAGGTACTGCTTGCGCAGAGGATTCCTGTCCCGGTCTATAGAATGCCATACCTGCACCATCAGACTCGTGAGAAAAGGGTTTTGGAATAACCAAGAAATGGAAGTATTTTTTTTTTAAAAAGACCATTTCTATGAAGAATACTCTATTTCCTTTGCTTCAGACAAATTAATTTTAAGGAATTAACAAAACAATGAAAATGCAAATATTATATAATAGATCAAACTAAATATTATCCACGGGAAATCCTCTTCATCATGTGCATTCTGCAGTATGCATTATGGGCTCCTGCGCTGTGTCCAACATTTATCCTGCATAGACACATGCAGGATTTTTCATGAACGCGTGTAGTAGACGACAACAGTTCAAATAAGTTTCACTTTAGACAGCTTAAATACCTATAGTTTCACATACTTTGCACATATCCTCAATTGCATTTGCATGCACTTACATACCCTAATGTTTCCAAAAGTTACATATTCATACCCTCACTCCAGGTGATATTCTGAGACCCTTCTTTACCCCTGAAGTTTGTCTAATTTTCAAACCTACCGTATATGAAGTTACCATTTTTTCATCAATTCTTCCCTAATTCCCACGTTTTCTCTTGTTTCTCCCTAATTTCTTTGTAGGAAATCATGAAGGCAGCCCCAGATTTTTCAAGCTCTTCATAATAAACCAAATACCATCTTAAGTCTCAACAATTTAACCCATAAAACCCAATTACACAAAGGACCCTTCCTACAAACAACAAAAACCCCAGATTAACAACAAAACTTTTCAAAAACAACCTTCATTCTTTGAACCATAATAGAAACCCAATTTAACAATAAAAATTACATGGGGCAATCTAATTTACGAAAATTCAAGTCACAGCACTAGCAAATTAAGGATTAACTTGAGAAACCCTAACCTAGAATCTATGAAGCATCGACGCGCGAAACTTGGCCCCGAGTCCGTGTCCGACGCGTGTCGGATGCGGACACGCGTTCGACACGCGTCGAACACGCGGTCAACGCCCCCGACTCCTTCACGACACGGCTGGGATTCGCAAACAAAAAAGAAAAACCCGAAACCCAAACTCAAACCCTAATTTCTTCACTTACCAGAGTCCTGACGCCGTCACAATCCCTTTGTCTCTCTCGAGATCGGCTCATCCTCGTCGGCTCGTCGCTACTAGGTCAGTCTCTCTCTTGATCTCCCGATCTATTCGTCCCTCTCTCCCGATCTCTTCGTCTCTCTCTCCCGATCTCTCGATCTCTTCGTCTCTCTCTGGATCTCTTAGTCTCTCTCTCTCTCATTCTCTTTCTCTCTAAAATGTTTATATACATGATGAAGGAGTTGAAGCCACAGAACGATCTTTTTGATGTTTCAACTTGAAAAAATTATTTTAAGATACGCTTTTGGTTGTAATTTTTATATTTTTGCAATGTTAGTAACTTAATATTTTGTAGCCATGGAACTAGTTGCAACTTGATCTTTATTCTCTTGTAATTTTTATATGTTTGCAATGTTAGACTTGTTAGTAGCTTAGTATTTTGTGTTTGAGGATTACATTTTAGTTTGTTGTATGAATTTTATAAATTTATCTATATATAATAATATTAAAAAAATCTAGATGTGTCGTCGTGTCCTATTTTTTTGGGTTTTGCCGTGTCCATGTCGAGTCCGTGTCGCCGTGTCTGTGTCCGTGCTTCATAGCCTAGAATCATGCGCTCTTGCACAAAATCCACCTTAAAGATCCAATTTTGCAATGCCCTAACCAACCCCAGATTCGAATTTGGGGAGAATTGGGTCTTAGTGAATCTGGGGAGATTGTAATAGAATTGGGTTTTTTATAATGTTGGTGGGTTAATTAAATGGGGGCATCTTTCGTCCTTTATCTAAAGTTTATAACTACATTAGTCAATTTTAACGGTGGGAAGTATAGGGTATTTAAGTGCAGCCAATTACAAATATTTAAGTGCAAACTAGGTGAAACTATAGGGTATTTAAGTGCAATTAAGCCTAGGATTTATTATATATGGTTTGGATGTTATTTGCCCATTTGAGGCTATGGTACTTATTTCCATGATTTATATGAAGTGGGATTTAGGATTAGTATGATTTGTCATGAATTTTGAGGTTATATCATGTCTTGAGTCTTGACTTCATGTAAAACTAGTTCTCAAAAATAAAATCTGTGAGAACTCTGTAACAGGCATCTTTCGAACAATCCTCATCATTCAGCTTGATCTGCACATCCAAAATATTATATGAACGATAAATAGAGATTTTCAAAACTTTTTACCAATGCATCAACCACCATCATTTCTTTTCTTTCTTTATTTTTCTTTTTTTTTTTTTTGTGTGTGTGGCTACAAGATAAAGATTTGAAACCACGTAATCTTTCCACTGTCTAATTTGGATGTGTTGAACAAGATAGATCGTGTGCATTGACAGGAAGCTGTTACAAAAGTTTTCACTAATGTCAACAAAAAAAGAGGCATAAAAGGCCCTTAAGAAGATACAGCATGAAAGCTAAACTTGATATAAAGGAAGCATTTGATACATAGCTTCATAATTCAATGGAATAGTATTTGGCATAATTATCTAAGCACCAATTATGTTGTATACCCTTATCGTAAGGACAAAAAAAGATAAACATAGTAGTACAATCTGTGTCGAGAAGTACATTCTAGGGTTTCGGGATGTTTGGCTACATAGAAGAGCCCTTAAGTAATTGAAGCCTCAGATCACATGGTTTTGCAGTACTTAAGAATATTTGGCATAAAAGCTAAACTTGTACTTCAATGTAAATGAAACATTTGATACACAGTTTCATAATTCAATGGAATAGTGTTTGGCATAATTATCTAAGGACCAATAACATTGTATAGCCTTATTGTAAAGAACAAAAAAGATAAACATGATAGTACAATCTGTGTCGAGAAGTACAATCTTGCGTTTCGGGATGTTTGTCTACATAGAAGAGCCCATAAGTAACTGAAGCCTCAGGCTCCCATGGTGTTGAAGTACTTCAAGAACCCCCAAAGACAGTCTCAAAAAATTGTTTGCATCCGAAGTATGAGGGTGGAATGGCCTTTGAAGTAATTTTGGAACTTATGAAGTTTCGCGACTACATTGGAAGCAAAAGAAAGAAAAGTTATTCAAACTACAACACGTCAATAAATTATTGCTTTTTGGGCCTAACCATAGACTTTTAACATCTTTCGAGCTCTTTTGCTCTAATGACCGAGATTTCACCTCTTGGATGCGATCATAGTTATGGTTTGCCGTGATCGGTATCTAAATCGGCATGGGGAGAGTTTCGGAGATTTTGAATGGAATTATTAGTACATGAAATTACTTAATTTTGTCACAAGCCCGTTCATGGATTGCTCTTACTTCTCCCAAGATAACACTATTAACTCAATTTTTGGTACTTCATACCTCATGTTGACTCTCGTTTAAGAATGTAGCACTTGTTTGCTCAACATCTACAGTCTAGGCTGGTTACAGCTGGACATCCACCATATCCTTGCTAATGACAATCCGAAGAGTCACCCCCTATGTTCCAGGTTGACACAAACATCACCAGAAGTACTTCCATTCTCTTCCAGGTTATTTAAACATGCCAACAAACAGCCTCTAAGGTAGCTTTACCTCAACTGTCAAGACATCAAGTATGATTCGAACAGTTCATGATTCAACTGTCTCTCCCGCACATGTATGTTTGACAGGTCTGTGTGTTCAATTGGTTTGTTTGCATGTGAAGGATGGCCAACAGTAATGAACTTAAAAGTAAATGAACATAGAACATTTGTGTAAGACACGGATATCAGAAGGGGGATTGGGTGATCAGAAAGATATATATTTGTGTATAGAATTTGTTCAATAGTTTGAGAGATGGACACCAAATAAATAGAAAATTTGACGTATTACAGACATGACATGGCAGTTGACAGTCACCAAAGAAAGTAAGAATATATAACTCCCTCCTTTTTATTGTCTGATTCTAACATCGACGTACAGTAATAAAAATCCTAGATTCACCGGCTCCAATTTTTTAATTAATGATATTGAATTTATTTTTATAGTTCAATAAGAATGAAGGCTATGCATTGTTGTAAGGAGGTCTATAGTTCTCAAATTAGCGTTGCAAGAAATATCCTACAGTCATTTCAGGTTTTATTTTGACATTTCATTTAAACAAACACATTTCAATTAGCCACTACAAGCTTATAATGATAATTAGGATAACAATACAGCTTTGTTAATATTAGCAACCTGAAGATGAGGATTATGATCATTAGGTACTGTACTGACTGCATATCGCATTAATAGCATTCATAAGAAATCAAGAGAGAGTTTATTAAAACTTAAAGCCAGGGAGGAAAGAGCAAAAATTAGCACACCTCTGCATATAATATACAAGATGCAACCAGCACTCTTTGTCTCTTGGATTCAGATATTGGCATGTTAAGGATTGGTGAAAGCACACTGTAATAATAAAAAAAGTCTTAAGTCCAACTTAATATGAATACAGTTCCAACAAACAGAATCATAAGTAAACAGAACATATGTAAAAGCAATGTTAATGCACTATTCCCATTAAAATGCTTACAGCATTCGCAAATTTTTCAAAAGTAGAAAATTACAGATACTAATTATGAAAGAGTCATAAGTAAAAAATGATTAATCTAACTTAAAATGACTTGCATTCTGTTATATAATGCTCATCATTTTATTAAGCGATATATCATATATCCAATATCATGGAAGTACTGCCAGAACAAGCAATGTACATGAAAATGTTTTCTTGATATCATAAAAAGTAACTAATCATGCATGTAGATGCTAATACTCATGTGGCAACTGAAAGAATTATTTTTGTATGCCAAACTATTCACACCAAAAATGGTTTATATTGAGCCATTACCAACATAATGGAGCTCAGCAATCAGATGAGTATATGGAACATTCTTGCTCAGCTGGAGGATATCATTGCAATGTGCTAGCTAAATGTGATGTACTTTTGGCTCGTTTTATGGGGCATTGAAAGGTGCGGGAAAATGATACGGAAACTCTTCTTACACAACGAATATTTGCCAAACAGTCAAACCAGACTAAAAAATTACCTTGTAGACCACTGTTGGCAAACATTCAAAATAGATGAGCTAAATTATTAACATAGGATTTGACTAATTTACTAGACATTCAATAGCCATTATGTGCTATTACCAGTCTTAGTTATATCCAGAAACCAATGTTTTAAATATCGGATATCGGGGAAATATCGGATGACCAAAATTCATATCGGATTGCGGATATCGGGGAAATATCGAGGATATGTGGTAAATATCGGAATGCCATAATGAATGTTTGCATACATAGTATAATGCATTAAAATGTAATCTCAACATATGTAATGAAATTTAAGCATACAAAATATGAATAATATATGTTTAGGATCACTAATCAACCTTCTCAAACAAACAAAAGTGCAAAGCAACGTTGCAACATTCGATCTGCTTTTTTTAGGGCAAAATGTCATTTGATATGATGGGGAAATCTTGATATCTCGCCCAAAAATTCCAAACATGGTATATTATTTTGCAACAAGTTATATAAAAAGATATATTGGTCCACATATCGGCTAATATATCGGCCATATCAGAGATTTATCACGCAAAATAGCCAAAAGGCGGTAAAGGATATTTAAAGACCATATCGGTTGCGGCAAGCCCTGTAAAAGGATATATCGGGGGATATATCGGGCCATGTCGGGGATATTTAAAACAATGCCAGAAACAGAATTTATCTGTTGCAATAAAACGTTAAAAATGCATGATATGAATACTACGGGCATAACAAGTGGCTCATACTTTGCTGAACGGCTTCTTGCCATGGATTGATTGTTCATTGTAGAATAAAATCCAGCACTCAAACATCGGTTTTTCTCCTCTTCTCATTTCAGTGCTTATATGAGGTTATCAAGGCACAAATAGTTTATCCATATCGTTACCCACTTAACTACATCGCAACTCTATAGTTAGTATAACATTGTGTTGAAACAGTTAAATTCCTACTAACAAAATTATGACAACACCAACCCAAGACATGATCAATTCTCTTGGGGGAAATAAGAGCATTAAGTAGTCCTTCCCAATTTATAATCTCTGTATAATCCATGAACTGTGTCATCAGCCTAGGTCCTTTTCACAAACTCTCGTTAAATCTTACGTGGCAATGACATGGTAGTGACAAAACAAACTTTTAATTTCGCTAAAATTATTTTACTGGATGCTCTCCCTATTGATGCAGAATAATTAGAAGTTCAAGGGTTATTTTCAGACAGTAAGCATAACCTTAATAGTTTCAGTCAATACTTTTCCTAGGAGACTCCAATTAACTCTCACAGTTCAAAGCATTACAAAGATTAATGACTCTTTTCTCAAATGAATCTAATTGTGCATGAATTGGAGTTTCTGGAAAAAGTTATCTGCAGAATACTAAGGGACAGTCAACCTAATCTGCTGGGTCTTTTATGTTTCTCAGGATTTTCCAGGAAGACTCCAATTAAGTCTGAGTTTGAAGCATTGCAAAGATTACTAAGTTCGTTTTCAGATGAATCTGATTGTGCATGAATTGGAGATTTATGGAGAAAGTTATCTGCAGAATACAAATAGACAGTCAATCTAAACAACCCCGTAATTTTTGGAAATACTATGGTAAATAGTATTAAGTGAGTCATATTATGATAAATATCAAATATTGATGAATGAGTACATGGGTAATCGATTTGAGATCGATTAAGTATGCATATAAGTGAAAACGAGTGAAAACATACATGTGTGCACAAACCTAGAAGTCTGTTTTGTGCTCTGGTCGGTCGACTGACCGTAGCTATCGGTCGACCAAAGAGCTTGTCAGTCGACCGTTGCATGGTGACCGACGGGTACTCAAGGCAGTTTCCCAATTTGATTTGGTTTCGGGTCTTTTGGTCTTGTTTCGGGTTTGCCTCCATATATATGTATATTTCACGAAAATCTCTCTTTTTATCATATTTCTAAGCCCTAGCAGCCACCCTCTCCCCTCGTCAAACCTTAGAATTAAATTTATGAGATTTTTAAGAGCTTTGTGAAGCAAATACCAAGAAAAGGGTGAGATCGTCGACGTTTGGCGAAGGAGAACCTGTTTTCTTGCATTCTCGGGGATTTCTGCACGTGTTGAGGCGAGTTTTATCTCCTCCAATCTCATCCCCGTGTTTATTTGGTTTTCACTTATTTCTATTTGGTTTTATTGGACTTTAAAACCTAGTTTAAGTATAAAGAATGTTCTTTTAAACCACAAGGCTACGATTTGATCATTTGATTTTAAAAAGTTATAATATTGATTCTTTATATTGGATTTAACTCCTGAAATACATGTTAACATGAGATTTTGTCGAGATTTATAGTTTTCATGAAAATTCCTATGAACATGTTCATGTTAGGGTTAATAGAAGTCACTCAAACTTGATAATTTGAGTTTCATATAGTTAATCAATCCCTAATCACATTAAACAAGTTTAATTATATGTGTTTATATGTAAAAATCTTAATTTGATGATGGATTGTAGATCAAACCAGCACTAAATTTTAGTTTCAGCTTCTCTTCTGGTCAGTCAACCGAACGAAGGAGTCAGTCGACCGATCCAGACTGAGTAGCGCATGCACGTTTGTGCATGAAGCCGATCGGTCGACCGATGGCCTACTTCGGCCGACCGATGAGTTGTTGTTTGAGTTTTTGTATTTCACTACGTTTGTTTGATCACAGCCATGCAATACGAGTTGCACGTAGATTTATGTATATGACCATGTGAGTGTACACGTATTTGTTTTGAGCATGCACGAGCATTCGGAGGTGCGTAACATATATTTTGATCTAGTCGTGATAAATAGAGGCATGTATTGCATTTCATGATTTTGTGATACATGAGTGGGGTTAGTCGGTATTCCCGCAATGAGACCGCGGCTGGACTACACTTAGAATGCGTCAATTTTTACCCCACAATGAGACCGCGTCTGGACGACACTCTACGTTGCATCATTGTTTCCAGTATAGAGTGATATGCCTATTTCGCAGGACGATTGAGTAAGGTTGTTGATGCCACATGATATTGTGAGCGCCTTACAAGAGTATCGTTGTTTCTAATAAAGAATTACATAGATTGCATTCATGCTCTCATGTTAGTTATCCGAGAGTAGGGTATGAGTCTGAGGATGTTATTCCTGGTATTTCTATGTGAGAAGTTTGTATCGTATGTTTAGTTCTGTGACTGCGCCACCTACCCGAGGGTAGTGTGAGATGTTTGACATGATTGGCATTGGATGAGGTTTGGTATTGTACTATCTTTCATTTATTGTTTATTTCATAGGATTTAGGATTGGTATTTAGCGATTCACAATTTGAGATACGAGGTATATACATGAGGGTTTTCTTTTTTGAATTATTTTGCTTGACGTACCCATTCTTCTGTTGTGAATTTCTAAATATTAATTTCCGCTTAGTTCAGGATAGATGATTATATATATGTGTGTGTGTGTGTACTAACTCGTATTTTTATATATGCTCCTAACCTCCTCCCCCTGGGACGGTGGAGATGATCTCGCTAACGTTTTGACGCTCGTTGTTTCTCCTCTTTTCAGGCAGCGAGCCAAACGTCCGGAGAGTCGCAGGTTGATGGAGAGGCAGTTTAGCTCATCATCTTATATTATTAGTAGTCATTAGTGCTCCACATTAGATATTGTTTGTTTTCAGACATTTAGAATAGTATTTCATTTTCTAAAGGCTGAGTGTCCTAGTACTTTATTTAGTTGACTCTTGTATTAAAGATATATCATTTTTGTTTCGGTCTATTAGTTGTACTTCATTTTATTCAGTTGGGACATGATTATGTTATTATTGAATTCTCTTATTTCCTTTATCATGTATATATTACTGTTATCTTTACCTTATCTGCTTTGTACCTACACTTGTTTATTATTGATTCCACTAGAGAGATATTACTGTGATGGTGAAACATGTTGTTGCACTGTGTAGGGTGCATGACAGGTTTGATATCCTTGGGTTCACCTTAGACTGTAATCTTGTGTGAAATCAAGGGCGTCACACAATCAGAACTGCAGTCTTTTACGTTCATTAGGATATAATTTTTCTTGTGTGAAATCAAGGGCGTCACACAATCAGAACTGCAGTCTTTTACGTTCATTAGGATATAATTTTTAAGTTTTCAATGTTAAGTCTTTTTAGTTTTCTATAATCCTAATGCTTGAAGGGATGTTTCAAGCTTATATATATATGCAAATTGTCTAATGAAAATGGCAGACTATTGGTTAAGTTAAACTCCATTCGGTTTCCTTTCCTTTAGAATACTTGGTGGATTCCATTGATTGTAAGTGCTCTTCTATATCTCTAAGGCAAGATACTTAAAGTGGTGACCGCCATATTTTTCTAGA